TAAAAAGTCAGTCCCCCTCCTGCCTGTAAGCTCCCTTCAGGTACTGGAAGGCCACAATGAGGCCTCCCTGCAGCCTTCTCTTCTCCAGGCTGAAAAAGCCCAGCTCCCTCAACCTCTTCCCCTAGGAGAGGTACTCCAGCCCTCAGAGCACCTTTCATGGCACTCCTCTGGACCGGCTCCAGCTGCTCTGCATTCTTCCTGTGCTGGATATGCAGACAAGCCCCACCACAACTCAAATCGCAGCTCTGTTGAGCTCAGCCTGTTCTGAAAACACTGAACTCCAGCTGGAGGTCTGCAGAACAGGGGAGATATGCATTACATGCAGCACCCTGCCAGCATCACAGCCCTTCTCAAGCCCCTTCCCAGTTGATTGACCTGAGCAACATACAAGCACCCTCAGCTGCCAGCCTCCAAGCTGCATCGGTTTCTGTCAATGGTTCACTCAGCCCAGAGGAGAGCAGCTGAAGGGAGGCCTCATGGTGGCTGCAGCTCCTCACAGGGAGCTGGGGAGCAGCGCTGAGCTCTGCTTTCTGTGACAGTGACAGGGCCTGAGGGAACAGCATGGAGCTGTGTCAGGGAGGGGCAGCTGGGGGTTAGGGAAAGGGTTGGCACCAAGGGTGGTGGGCATGGAATGGGCTGCACAGGGCAGTTGGTGCAGCCCTGAGCTGCTGAAGCTCAGGGAGTGTTTGGACACTGCTCTCAGATATGTGGGAATTCAGAACCCCCCCTTGCAGGTGCCCAGAGGAGGGCCAAGACAACTCCAGGCAGGTAGAATGGAGAAAAGCAAGGCAGAGCTGCCAGCACTGCCAAAGTCATGAACACCACTGCTGTACTCTGAACAGACTAATAGCTGTACCAGTACAAACGGCCACATGATGGCACCACAGCTTTGGAAAGCTGAAGACACATCAATACTCTTCAGAGTCAATACTAAAATCATCTTCACTGAAGTAAGAGTGATGTTTTGTAACGGCACCAGCAGGAAACTTCATAATAAGTGTGTGTAAATGGAAGGGCAAAACCCTCAGCAGGGAAGCTGAAGTAATGCAAGTAATATGTTCTTACAGATACTCTGAAGCAAACACTTAAAAGAGTGAGGCATCTATCTTTTGGATTTAGAGGGAATTAGAACAGTAAAAATGGCCAAAGGAAAGTCAGATTCTCCAGCAATAACTTCCAGGGCGATTCCCACAACCTGCTTCCTTCATGAAATACCTACTCATATCAGAAAGCAGTAAGTATATTTTAATAGCAAGTACTATTTAAAAACCATGCTCCGGAACCAGCTGGGAGAACCTTCTCTGGTCTGAAACCATCTTGAAACACAGCAGGCTTTGAAAATGAGATCATCTCTTCTGCTCACTCACCAGTTTTGTTTCATGCCTTATTTTTCCTTTCCCACTGTCAGGAGAACACATTCATGCACACCTGAGAGCAAGAGAGCTTGGAGAAAAATGAATTCTGGCTTCTATCTAAAGGTATCAGCTTTAGGACAGTATCTGACTAGTTAGTCCAGGTCTTAAAAAGGTCAGCGTTTGGTCAGCCGTGAAACCCAATATTAGAACAGAATCCTAAGCATGTAATAAAAGCCCTGTTTGCCTGAGCCAGCTATGCTGTCCAAAATGTCTAGTGACAGAGATCACTAAAAATAGATGAGTCCAATTCTGAATAGGCCATTCTCAGGAAGACAAGGCAGCCTGGCACATCCTTATTCATGCAAAATGTATTAGTGAGTCACTCACATGGACGCCAAGAATCTTTCATAGAACAAATGCTCTATGACATAAGTGAAATGTGCATCCCAATCTACTCTCAAAGCTTTGTCACAAGTGTTTTAACAGAGCAGTTGACCTGGAACAGAATTTGCTTCCTGGCTATTTGATAAGGTCGATCCGACAGGAAAAAAAAACACCTCAGACTATGCCTGGCACCACACAAGTGCAGGCAAGCGTAACAGAGCCATGTCACAAGGCTCCAACATAGGAAAGCTGGGATGAGGCCAGCCACACGTCTGTATCGCTCAGCATCGAGAAGTCAGTCTTCATGTTTATCACAGAATAACCCAGACTGCAGTCTGTGAGAGTAAAGACAAAAACAAACCACAGAAGTCTTCCACGGCACTCCAGGACTGAGAGAAGCGGCCGCTGTTTTAACTCAGCCACAGGAGGCAGACAGCAAACAGGGCTTATTCCACATGGGCCAACCACACACTGCGTACCTTCCTCGATCCACCAGGCCTAGGCTGTGGCTTGAGCATGTAAGAATATGCACATCCACACATCGCAGAGGCTTATCACCCAGGGGTAACCAGCTTTTGTTGAATCAGCCCAGAAAGCAGAAGCAGGTATTTTGCTAACACCTCCTCCTCACAACTATCCTAACCAGCAAAACTAGTGCATGTCAGGATTGCTTCTGGAGATGCATTGCAAAGCTGACATTTCAATGTGATACATTTAGAATGGATGTGCATAACGTAACTATTAAAAAAATTGTTTGCTTCCATAGAAAATCTAAATTTTTATTATACATACTGTATTACACTGAAAATACGTACCCAAAGACAGAATATTTTGAATTTACAACTGTACAAAAAAAAACAATAGAAAACATACAGACTATGCAATAGATGTAACATTTCACAAAATGACATTTCTTGTTAAAGGCACCAGATTCCCAGAGGGCTCTGGCTTAACATTTTTTAGTCTTTTCCAGTCAGATTACACTATGAGAATGTGATTCACTCTTAAACTGTATGATGTCAAAGTTTCAAGCTTCTATCTAGACAACAGTTTGCACTGAGACATCATTTAGTGATATTACCAATTTCACACAGAGATACTGAGCAACCACCAAAGGTTCCCCCCCATCGCATCCAGTATCCTATGGCATTTAACTGAAAGATTAACCAGCAAAGCTACCAGTGGAAAACGAAGTTAACCCACAGAACACTGGCCCAACACAAGAGTGTTAACCACACAAAGTCTCAATAGCATCATACAGAGAGAACTACAGAGCACTAGAGCAGGAAAAAGGAGGAGGAAGGAATCTGTAATCAGTACTCTTGCTCAACATCCTCCTTGGGCTCACCTTCATTAAACTCATTTCACTTTCAAGTCCTCACTCATGAAGAAGATGGAGTCTGAAGAAACTCAGGACTTTGTAGGGCAAGTTCTTAAGAAGCCTGGGTATGTGTGTGTGTTCTTCCCATCTCCCACCTAACAAACTTGGACAGGACAGGTTAAAAAAAAAAGCCACTTTCATTGCTACAAGCCATACTGTGTTCATTTTGTGCCCTGACATGCTCACAGGTACAAGCAAAGACAAGAGAAAATGGGACATCCTGCCTTGCTGAGGTCCAGTAACACACTTAGGAAGTTTGGGCTTGCTGTTTCCTAAAGCTTCATGCTTGGGCAAAGGGAAAGAACGCAAAACTAAGAAAACCCAGAACTACTCCTGTGGTCATTTGGTTAGTACATCAGCAAACCATTCTGGAGTCAGCAGAAGTTTTTATTTAGCTTTGCAGCACACACTGAGCATCACTGTATAGAATCCAGCTAACAGCTAAGTGACTGAATATTTAAGATAAAAAAAATATGAAGTTCCAAGGCCAGTGTTCTGTATGCAGCAATTCCATTACACTGGAATTTAGATGTTGGTGTTGCCCTGTCTGAATTGCCTGGCACGCTATGTTTTCTCTGAAGAGCTCTATGTAGTTTCATTTCTTACCATAACATTGCAACATCTTCCCTTTCTTCAGGCATTTAAGAAACCTTTCAAGAATCACAAATCAACCTGCAGTAATGCTATAGTGTTGAGTGTCATAAAGTCGCTTTTAAAAATAAATTATTCTGCAGCGCCATCTCACCCTAATAACCAAACAGAATTAAAAATACACTATGCTTCTGCTTAGAATTTCAATATATTGGGCATGACTTCAAGCAGGCCTGCAGACCAACCTCGTTACACAGCAAATAAGATCTGGTAGCAGCATAGTAGGCTTCCAACACTACCTGCAGTTAGATGACTCAAATTCATTCTACAATGACTTCTTGAAGGGACAGCTGCTTCCATCCCAGCTCCACAGGTCTGAAATACAGACTTGTGCAGACTACAGGGTTAGTGAAGCACCTCCACTTATCTCAGGAAAGCTCAGTCATCACACAGCAGCTGCTTCTCACTACCAAACTGCAAAGGATCTTGAATGAGCAGTTTACAGTAACAATACATGCCCCTCAAGTCAGCCAATTTTCTAAAACATTTATTCTAAAATTATATTTGGTACTTGCAGCTTATCCAGCAAGTAGGAACATTTAAGACAACTATTATACATGTTTAAAGAAAAATGGTCATCACAAAAAAAAGAAACCTTTAAAAATCTGAATGCAGACAAGAAAAGGAATGTTACTTTCTTTTAAACCTTTACTTTAAAAGATGAATACTTTTATATTCTATTAGCCCTTACTGTGTAAGATATAATCAAATAAGTTACAGCCATGAAAATGCATTTTTACTGAACTCATTCTAAAATCTAAAGCCCACTAGTAATCCTCACTTGTCAGCCTGGTTTCTAGCTGCTTAAAGGAAAAAAATACACTATCAGAACCACAATCTGCATTGCTTCTGAAACGGGCTAATAAGATGTGGAGGAGAGCCCCCAGTGTGATGGTTAAATGTGGAGCCTAACGTTCACACTAAAACATGCTCAACACTCCGTAATGTTAGCAGATGCCATTAAATGACCTGCCCACTACAGAGCTAGAACATTCTGTATATTTGCTAAAATAAAATGAAGGAATCTATAACTTTGGTCACATTTTAAAATGCTGTAAGTACAGACTCTCTTGTCACTTACGCTTTCCCTCTTCAGTTGGATAATTAGTTTGAGAAACTAAAAATAAAAACGCAATAAAAATTTCCCAATACAAAATATTCTAAACAATTACCTAAACATCTTATTATGTTACGTGTACTGAAGGGATTTGGTCTGCTTTCTTTTCAAAAAAAAAAAAAAAGAAGAAGAGAAGAGAAAAGCCTCATTTTGTCCTATGAGTTCCACTTTAACATGAACCTCCAGTCAGCCTCAGGTACCCTCTCAGCAGCAGAAAACCCACTGTGCTGCTCTGTACATCTTCCTTCCAAGCACCATTCCCAACTAAGCACAGCTCTGCACACAAGCACTGGCAGAAACCAGACATTTAAACCAAGTCTCCCTCAAAGAATGCAAACAATGAACCCTGAACTATGTACACAACCCCTCTCAATAAACACAAACTACATCTGAACATTTAAGGACAGGTGAAACTAGTGGTGTTACAAAGATCAAAATGTGCTTCTACTAGAAGGGGATACATCTAAGGCACATTTATATGCCAGAATAACTGCAGCCACATTAATGATTATACTGATAACTACACAGGTAAGAACCACAGCTATACTCATTCTGAACTTTTTGGATAAGGTGATCAAGCACCTTATGACGGCCCAAACAAACCATCACCATCTCCTAGTCATCTTATTCAGAGATGCATCAACCATCTCCAGGGCCATATAAAACCAAAAATGCTGCAATCAGTCTTGATATGTTCTAGCTTTGTTTCCTCCCAGGCTGTTTGAAGGACTTGCCATGCAATAGCCACTGATAAGCTTTTACCCTAAAAATGACGTGGCAATTATAATTTGCACACAGCACTAGCCCACTGCTTCCTTTCAATTTTTCCCTGGTTTTGCTATTTTTTTCCATCAGAAAACTATGATATTCAGTTTTTCTTGATCTCAAGTAATGCCAAACATAGGTTAACTCATGCTGTGTATGGACATAGACAATATAGCAAATTAAAGATACTCAATCCCATCCTATGCCTCAAGAATAAATGAGCTGAACATACAGTGGGTACCATTAGACACTAGGGATTGATCACCTGCAGTATTTAGTTATACTGCAACTGAATTACAAAATAAAGCACCCATGTGGTGCTTCCTTGTGCTCATGGAACCCATGTAGTCAAAGGAAATAGTTTCTTTAAACAATAAAGATCTGTGCCCTCGTTTAAATGGTAAACCGTGAATGACTGTGCAGTAGTCTTCTCTTCAGGTACTCAGAAGTAAACTGCTCCCATCTTTAATCTTTCAGTTGTGATCTCCTCTCCCAGCATCTTAAATTGCATTAAAAAAAAATAATAAACAGAATAAAAAACCACCAACCACTTCCTCCCTAAGATCATCTTTTCCAGATAATAAAAAAAAGGAAAAAAGTAAATTCAACAACACCATCTTCTTCTGCATTCACCGAGCCCAGTTAGGTTGAAGAGCCACAGCTTCTATGCTGGAGGGTAATAAATGTACACATGAATGTCATTTTGTACAGTTGACATACTCTATGAGCTCATTGACTAAGCTTGATTTGGTCCAGTCTGCTGTCGCTGCAACTCTTAAGAAACGTTAGTAATAGGTTTGTACTTCTTGAATCTGGTCCATTCACCAGTAGCATAGTTCATTTCAAAGACTGTATCAACCAACATAGTGGTGCTGCCAGTGCCATCCGCCTTTGGTAAATCTTCTGTATGCTCACTAAGTTTAATCTGAATGATGTCACCTTGCTCTTGGCAAGGATTCTCTGCGGAAACAAGAAAAAACAAGTTAAACATTTTGGCATTATGAGAAAGCGAAGAGCACTTGATAGAGATTCAAAACCTTATGCTGAAAAAAAACCTCAGTATTTTCTATTAGTTCTGGGTTTATCTCTATACCACATGGCTACAGACCTTCTTCACTCAATACATCATGGACTTTATTTCTGTATAACAAAACCAAACCTGAAAAGATAAACCTCAAAGGCAAAGTAATTGGAAAAACAAAAGTGAGTCAGTGCAGGAGAAGCATGCCAATGCCTCTTCTGTCTGCCTCAAGAACTTTAAGTTTTGGATTTGCTAAGCTTGAACCTACCAAACTTGCTCTATTTGGGATACATTTCATATTTTATAGAACTCAATAGTCTTAAGGAACTGTAGAAGCCTTAATAGATTCATTGAAATTACTAATCTATAAGGTCTGGTTCCATTCCAGCACAAGTAACAAATGTTACATGCCCAACTATTGGAATTGACAGTCAGGAAAATCAGGAATATCCTAGTTGACAGTTATTTACCCAACTTTCAAAAAGTACTGACATTAGTAGTTAGGAATTTATGTTATTTACTTATGTATATTCACATATGTAAAAATTCACATATGCAGAAAACATGCACACTATCAAAATAACGTTTACCTCACATCACAGAAAATATCAATATAGATATTAAAGTACATCCTGCTACAGTGTTCTGAAGTGGTATCTAGTAGTAAGAGCACCCATGAGCATAATAAACACAAAACTTTCTTTAAGCCCTGGGATCATCATAGTAACTCTATCCTGGCTATATTGAATGATGTACTGAACTAATCCAAACACATAAGCCACATTTAGACTCCAGTACTCCTGAGCCTTCAAATATCAATCTAGAAAGCAGTGCAGATGATAAAGTTCACTTAAATACTCTTAGGTTCCTTCTCATATTGCATTTAGTAGACAACTGAGAAGACTGTCTTGGTCTATCAAGGGCAATATACAACAAGACCAAGACAACAGCTCATCTCCCTCTGATTTTCAGCATCTACAGCTGAAGTAGGAGAAAACAGCTGCTGCATTTCTGATGTTCCACAGCTAGTGAAGAGGCTCTGTATTACACAATTTGTACATCAGCTTGTCATGGGAGAATCTGCATTCTGTCTTGTAGGCAGAATACCCAATCTAGCCTGTTCACTGTTCCACTTGGATAGGCTTGTGTCTCCTCAACTACGAAGCAGTATTACACGCTCTTGGTTCAGTTGTGTTTTGTGCCTAGTGACTGCTCTGAGCTGATTCTATTATTATGAGAAAAAGACTAAAAAACTACTTCCAGGTAGCCAAAACTTTAATCCATTAAAATAATCCCAGTCCAGAGTAAACTAGATTCTAGCACACCTTGAGTGAAGGTCAAGCAGGAGATGTACATTCACATATGCACATTCAGAAATGCTATGCTGTGTTTCAGACTGGAGATTGAAAAGCAAAATAATTTTAATACATACCTCTGGATCCTGCCATGAATCCAAGTATAAGAGCCTTTTCTGGCCTTGTAACTTTGTTTGCAGTTTTGAACATTTCCTGTGCAGCATACATTTGCTCCCTCTGTAACGGATACGACAAATATGAATTCCAGCAGAAAAACATAAAATAAACACCTTAACCTCAAAGCTTTTCATCTTTAATGCTTATATCTAGCACTTGCAGCAGTGACAATTCTGAAACTTACGCTGAAAAAGTAGGCACTTAACACATGTTTCTGCAACTGTTTAAAGAGACCTGCTGTTTCCACTCCACATTGTGTTCTTTATGACCTTAGTTAGAAAAAAGAAGTGCCTCTACATTCTAAAACATGCAGATTTGCAGTAATTTCAATTGGAAGGTTTTTCTTTTTAAATGAAGCAAAGCTAATGAAAAGTGAGAGCTTCTTAAGGTTCAGATCGTGCAAGCTGGGCTTACAGAGGTGTTTTGTGCAGTCTTCAGAGACAGTTATAGTCAGGTAACCAATTTGATATAATTTCAAAGCATGTGCGTAACATACAAATATAGGAACAATAAGAAGCTTCAGGGTAGTAATTGTTATTTATTTACCTCTGCACTCCCAGGCTTTTAAAAACTGATAACAAATGGGGGGGAGGCAGGAAAAGAAATCAAGAGTTTTGCCTTTATTCTACTGATACCTTCATTCCTACCAGTGTAACAATGTGACCTCTGCTAGCAGCTTATGCTATAAGCAAGGCTAAAGGCACTGCTGGAACTCTGCCTTTCTCCCAAAATTCTTTGCAACAAGGAACACATTGTTTTATGTAATGAACCAGGAAATAAAGACATCTTACTCTAACAGTACCATTGCACAAATAAAAAGTTGTGATTAACATTTCAAACAGCAATGCTAATGAAACCACACGAATATTTTCTTTATCTTTGGTTGCAAACAAGCAGCCTCAGTTATATTGTCAAATTTTTAAGTAAGATCGAAAATAAAAATTTGCTTTTCCAACCTACATCAAAAGCATCAGCTAAAAACAACCTATTTGTTACTTACTGTAAGAGAGAGGCTTTTTTTCGGTGGTGGCTGTTGCTGAGTTTGAGGGGCCACTTGTGGTGCTTGTGCTGCAGGGGAAATGGCAGGAGGTGTGGTAGGTGTGAGGGGTGAGGTAGGTGTAGTTGCAGGTGGATTCGAGTTACTGTTGTACATGGGAGTTCTCTGCTTGAATTGCGCAGGAAGAGTTGTGGTAGCATTTGGAGCTGCAGGCTCTTCAGTCTGTCTGTTAGTCTGCAAGGCCTCTCGTGCAGAGCCAGCTGCAAAAAACAGAGTAATTATAAGTATAACCCACAAACAAGACTCAACATCACCAGTGGACTTTAAAAGGATCTAAGATTTCCGATTCTTCTATTTATCATAATGACTCTACACCATCTGAAAACATGAAGAGCTAGTGCTCCACACAGACCATCACCTTGATCAATTACACAGTAAAGAGATTTCCAATATGGATTATACCACTTTTAGAAGCAGATTTCATCTTCAATGGGTATCAATTAAACTTAAATCAATCTGCTTTTTAACATATGTTGCTATAACATCTGTATGCTGACCCCACCAAGTTTGTCATACAGTGGTTTTGATTCCTGTGTGGCAATTTTTTTTTTTAAACCTAGTGCAGACTCAGTAACAAACACTGAAAATACACAAATATTTGCACAGATAAAATTAAAATCAGTCCCCAGAATAATTCATTTAAACACTAACTGCTAAGAGGGCTAAAACCCTCACAATATTGAGAAATGGATTTATTCGCCTGTACTCAGCCACCCAAGGAAGCTCCTGTTCTAAAGCTGACTGCAGCTAGAGGTAAGGTATATCACAAGTTACCACGTTATCCAGCAGACAACAGCCAGCCAGTGCACGTTCCAGCTACTTATATTCTCTGGCAGCTCTTTGACATAGGTACAGCTAAAAGACCTTTTACATGTCTCATGAAATTTAAACTAACATATACTCATCTGTGTTCACAACAAACTAAAAAGGCAGATACAGATTACAATTCAGCTGATGCCTTTCAGACCAAGTTTTAGAGAATGTGAAGGTTCCAGTACTATCATTCATCTAGGCATGGATACAGCACTGGCTTTAGCAATATGGCTCTTAGCCAGTAAGATAACTAGCTACCCATTCATTCTGTACAAATCTCCACTTTTATTATCAGCTTCATCCCATGTCAGAATCAACTTGCATGAAGTAACGTACATCTTAATTACACAACATCAGATTACAAGAAACCAAATTAACAGGTCTTTAAGAAAACAGCATTCCTTGTCTGTAAGGAAAGTTAGAAAAAAACAAAAAAACAGGAGACAAAGACAACAGAATTTTAAAGTAGGCTTTTTCTGATGTGGAATACACTGCCAACGCTCTGGAAAATAATACTAGCTGCTGACAACACTGATGTGCTTTTGGCTGCATTCCTTCCAGAGATGCCAATTTACTGTCAGAGAGATTTGCATAGACCTTCAGAGAGATTCTGAACTGTTTCAGAGCCAAGTTAAGTGATTAGTTTTTCTGTATGACTTTTTCTACGGGAACCAACATGCCACAGCTCATACAGGGAAAAGCTACAGTAACACTTAACAAGCAAGAACAAAAATAACACAAACTCCAGTGCTGGTTCTCTGTTAACTACAAGCTCTGGTAATGAATCCCAGTCACATACATTTGTTAGTGCAAACTGATAGCCTCTAAGACTGCACATGCAGCAGGGAAGGAAAGTTAAAGGCCAGTGTATTAAAAGGTGAAGAAAAGGATTTCTACAAAAGGGTGTATTTCCCCCCGCCCCTCAAAATATTCAGAAACTCAGCTATTATAAAAAGGTTATAGGAAAGTGGAAAAGAATGCCTGTGTCCAAGTAAATAGTGCTTGTTTCTAAGAATATATCTGACACTTGAAAGCAATTACCTGTTCTTTAAGTGTATGGAGATAGGTGCGTGTATATTGAGCGTATACTCTAAGATTTACTTATATAAATATATATATATATAAATAAACAAATCTCACTAGTGTTTCTTTGGAAATTAAAAAAATATGCTGTATTTCCAATAATAGGGACAGAGAAAAACCTACAAAATTAAGTAAGCAAAACAGTTAGCCATTTTTAAGTCTTAAAAAAGCAGCACTTTATTTCTTAGGTACAGACATTTGCAGGTTCCTGCAATGGGTTTTTAGATTGTCAAGAGTTCTATAGTCAAAGAACACTACGTTGGTAAATAAAAGAAATCAGCCAGCAAAACCAAAAAAATCAGAGGTATAAAATCCCAATAGAAAAAAAAGAAGTATCTTTCTTACCTGGCTGTGTTTCAGAACTTGGGATGTATGAGGAAGATGGCACCACACTGGGAGTAGCAGGTAAATAACTTGTAGAAGGCAGCGCTGGCTCATTGTTCAGTGAGCCAAGTTTCTGTAAAACATGAAAAGCATTATGCCTGGTAAAGTACCTACAGAAAGAGTGCAAAGAAGGCCTCTGGGACATCAGCATGCAGAAGGCCTAACCAGAGGTAAAAGCTTAAGTAAGGCTGTCTCCACTCAAACAGGCAGTCATCACCAATGTAGGACACAGATACCATCTTGGATCAAGCAAAAGGAATCAACTGTTTTTTACTTAGAACACAATATTGTGCACATTTCATAAAGAGAAAAAAATACTATTAAGAGAGTTACCACCTCTGAGCTTCATGGGTTTTAGGAAGTGATTATAAGCCAAGGGTATTTTGGATAGAAATCAGTTCCTTGCATTTCTCCCTCCCTTTCAGCAGTAATGGGGCTGGCTTAGCCTCGTTACAGACATATGTGAGACCTCAGAAAAAGCTGTCTTCTAAATTAAGCAGCATTTTCACAAGATTACAAAGGAAAATGGAGAAGAGAGCCCCAGAATAGTACTAGCATAGAGATTCTTTTTTCAAGCCAGAAGACAGATGAATTATCAAAGATTGTTCTTTTTTAGCTACATATATTCAGTCATCCCTCCTAAGATATTCCTCCATGCCTCACTGCGTTTCTTGACATTGTTTCACTAGAGTTACAAAGTATGCACAGTGAAACCTGCAGGTGCTCTTGAAAATAACAATTTCTCTAGGTTCAGGGAACCTTCCTGGCCCCTACTTCTGACAGGGGACAGTAGTCCTCAATTGCCATAGCTTATAAGCTTATAGCAATGAACTTCACCCTGATCCTGATTTTTTTTTTTTTTTTTAATATTGTTCAAAGATAGTACAGTACAATTTTGAAATGATTATGTAATGGTGTTGGTTCTTCTTTAAAAAAACAAAACATTTGAAGTCTGTTTCCACAACTTCGAACAGTATCATTACAGTGTTTTAGAATAACATGCATCGTGGTTTTCTCATCTCTGTTATTTCATTGTGCCGTAGGATTTTTTCCTCTGTTGCTCTGTTTTTTACCTGTGTAGACACAAGTCCAGCAGCATAATCTGGAGTAGCATTTTCTACTACTGTTTCTTCTTTGGCTTGCTTTTCCACCACTTCCGTATCTGTTGCATAAAAACAAAAGTCAGTTCAAGGAAATACATGTAAATACTGAATTTGATTTAAACAGGGATCTAAAACAAATGACATTTTCAAAGAGTCTGCTAGACCATGCTTGAGAAGCATATGCTGAAAGGTTACAGTAATGAATATATGGAGATTACTCTATACAATTTTATGAACAACCCAATAATTAAAGTTTTTACCCATTTTTCTTGTAAACTTAGCAGATGAGTTTCAACACATCAAGAATAAAACCAATATATCTGCATATATCCTAACAGTCTTTGAAAGTAATGTTCCATACTAACCTAATGTCTTTCTTCTTCTCTTTGCTTCACGGCCAGCACCTACCATATCCAGCTCAGAGAATTCTAAAAGCTGAAGAAAAGAGTGCAGAATCTTAGCAACAGCAATATAAACTATTTCAATACTATCCTTAATTTTTAACATGCCGATGCTTGATTCAAAACAGCAGCAAAAAGTTATTTTAAAATGGGGAGGAGAATTGAGCAGGAATTCACCTACCTTTACTCCTCTTTCTTTACGCAGAGGCGTTCTTGAAGGAGGAATAGGATTTCTGTTTCCAGAAGGGTTAAATACACTAGGTGCTGAAGTACTCCTAAATGGAGCTTGTTTTGGTATTCCTTTGAGTGGTGCTTAAGATAGATCAAAAAAAGTAACGATTAAAACACCAGCTTCACTAATTACAAATAACACAATGAGGTCTTTACCTTTTCCCCTTCTTAACACTCCCCCTAACTTCAAAAGTGGCTAAAATGGAACTCTCTACAAAATACAAGATGTTCTCCAAACTTCAGATTGGGTTTTACTCTTCAAACAAGGAGAATCACTCCCCACTAATGTTTGCAATCCCAAAGTTTAAGTAATTTTTATTACAGTTTTATCTTCATTATTTTTCTACACATTCTAAATGAAGTAACGAAATCAGCACACTGCTATCAGAATATACTCTTCTACATATATTCAGTTTCCTTACTTAGAAACTTCAAACCCATACAAAGCTATTAAGAGTGAATGTTTTGAACCTTAGTGATTACAGTTACTCTTTAAACTTCAAGATCGGACTACTTGGTAAAACTGTATCTACCCAAGAAATCTGGCCAAAAGCTGTTGCAATTCCTACAGCAGATTATGCAGTGCTCCCACTAGCTTCCTTCCTTCCAAGGAGCTTACCCTCTGTCTTCTCAGGAGTCTCAACATACCACATGCTGTGTTAGGACTAAAGGGGTCAGAATCAGACCTATTTGTAGATGCCATAACATGCAGAACATCATGAATAAAAAAGATTTGCAGAGCATTTGTGGAATACACTTTTTTTTTTTTTAAATTCAAGGCAAGCTTTTGCAAGATGATCAACCTACCCATCTTTGTAAGCCACAACACATAGCTCCCTACTTCTGGGACTTAAGAAGGCAGAAGAGCTCTGGCAGCACATCACAGCTGAAGTACTGTGATACTCCCCTCATCAAGGGTGCCAGCACTCGAGGCTGGCAGTCAACATCATACAACTCCTATACAAAAATGTACAGTGAGGGGAGCCACACCTGGAGAACTCCTAAGCAGCACAGGAGCCACGCCAGCTCTTCAGAAGTGTCACAAATCACCACTTTTAATAAAGTTACATCAATCCAAATGTAAATTTTTGGTTCCTCCACAAAACTACTATTACACTTTACACCTACGAATATAAAAGCATAAATTTGGTACTGGAACAAGCTCCCCACAGAAGCAGTCAGAGCTCCAAGCCTGTTGCAGTTCAAAAAACATTTCGACACTGCTCTCAAAAATATGGTTTGAATTTGGGGTGGTGATATGGGGAGCCAGTGGTTGGATTCTATGATTCTCATGGGTCCTATCCAACTCATGAAATTCTGTGATTCTACAACTTCTCCATCCAGGCTCACAACTTCTCCAGTTCCTGCCTTTAAAGACACAAAAAAAAAACAAAAGCACTAACACCTTGGAATTTGGAGAAATGAAGATATAGCTTCAAAATTCTGCAAGGCGGGACACTCCCTCAGATGAAGATGCTCTTTAGCAAGTTATATTACACTGCAATATTGTCTCAGCAAAGGTCAAGTCTTTTGTATTCCAGTGGAATGACGAATTACTGTCTCACAGAAGGGTTTAAAATGCTGGACCTATGGTCTGCACAGGTTGCTTCATACTGCAAACAAAAGAACTTGCTGCCACAATGCTCAGTAGAATAGAAGTTGCTACACCTACAATGGTGTTTCCCCAGACTTTATATTGTTATCCCTTGACACCACACTTAAAATAAGCACTGAAAACAGCATTTGTTCACCAACTGCTAAAAAGTTAGACAGTCCAAAATATTTGTCAGGTCTTCAAGCCTTATGGCCTACAGATTGAAATCTACACTTTAGGTCAAACAGAATTTTGGTTTGAGGCTGGATACTCTGAATCCCACTGTATGTTTTACTGAAAACATTTTCAGCATAGGACAATTCTTACCAGTGTAAGTTTCAGTGTTGTAAACCCCAACTGGTCCCATAATTGGTATTTCTAGAAACTGCCTGACTCTAAAAACTGGTTTCATTATTCAATGGCTTAAATAAAAAATGAGAACTCAAACATCAACAGAACTGACAGTCAATTTTTACACTGGGACAATTTTTTAGTTCAACTTACAACTATGCTCCTTGCATTTCCTGCACAGACTTGCGACTAAGTACTCTGGTACTCAAACCTACGTATTAAATGCATCAACAAAGTACATTTTAGCTTCTAAACACCACACCAAGAAAATACTCGAGTTTTATGTCTCAGCATCATATTGACAGCCAGAAAAACTATAGTGTTATTTAAAGTGTTACTACTTTCAAATCTGCTTCCTACTCCTAAAACTTATTAAAAAACAATTAGGCAATTCTGGAACTTGAGTGAACAGTTGAAACTCTTACATTAATAGCTGTACTTGTTTTTCATATCTATTAAATAGAAGCAACACTCAACAGTCTTAGCTACTGTGTACCTTCCCACTAAAATACTGTGCTAGTTAACACTTAGAAAGTAGTTAAGAATATCAGAATTATTTGTTGGCTTGAGTGTTCCTCAGCCCTGTTTAAATCTGTGTGATTGAGATTGATTTGCACTTTTCTTATACCCTGTGTTCAAACTATCCTCTGCAGTAATCATGAACTACTCCATGGACTATCTCCATTATTTTCCCCTCCCCTTCTCCATGGGGAATCATATAAATCCAAGCTAGACTCAACCCAATTCACAGCAGTTCTAAGACCACAGATAACTGTGATCCACTCACTTGTTCCCTCTTGGAGGGATGCAGCTTACTCAGAAGTTATTCCTGGATTAATGCAAATTAAGTTCTTACTGAAGTCTGTAGGCATGATCTAGCTGCACGCATCCTAAATAAGATACACTGACATCTAATAAAACAACACCCTTCCTTCTCATAAGACTTGTTAAAAGCATTCGAATAGCAGTAAAAGACAAAGAAGAGGATATATCTTTCACTTCAGAATGAATTAAGCTTTTCTAGGAAACAGTAATTTCAGTCTTCAAAGCTATTTTATCAGCTTTTCTTTCAGGGAAGTGATATGAGTGAGCCATACTTGTTGTATCAATCTTTTTGACCAGTCCCCTGCCCTTGGCATGAAAAGGCACTCCTGCAGTCTTCTTGAGCTGCTGAGCAGTTTCTGTCGCTACAAAAAGAAAACAAAACCCAAAACTTCAGTTATTACAAACTCTGTGCTAGAAAATATATGGTTTCCTATAGAAAAATGTTACTAACTAATACGTAACAATAAAATGTAATTAACTAAAAACTATGAATATCAGCAAGAACTATATTGCAATTATAAAAAAAACCAAGCTACAACATACGTGGAGAAATGCAAAACGGGTACAACTGCAACTGACAGGATGGCCAGAGCTACAATAAAAGACAATTTATTCAACAGAGATTGAAATAATTTAAGTTCTATGTAAGATTGAGATGTAACATTTTCATGCAAGATTTACAGCTTTTTTGAACACCAATCTCTTGGGTCACATGCAAGAAAGTATCGAGCTGCTCCAACACAGCAGCAGGTACAGGAAACTACTTTAAGATCAGTCAGATTAGCTACCAGTATATAGATGCGACATATGCTGCCTTTTATTAGTGAAACTATTGGCTTTTACCCCCTATACAGCTATCCTGGACAAAATAAATCATTAATTAGCAGCTCTTGCTCCTTGTTGCAGAAATATATGGTGTATTAAATTGTTTCAGGAGCTTTAACCAAAGCTGTCCCTCAAGCCTTCACTGCTGACTTAAATAAATATATGAGCTAACATATCTATGCTTTAAAAAGATACAGCTTTTTGTATTCCTTGAAGTCTGAACAACATTTAAATCAAGATTAGCATCTTAATATAATCATGGCTGGAATGACTTGCACCTGCTCTTCCACACAAGCTGTCAAGAGGGTGTTGGGGTGCAGTCACATTTCTTATAGCAAGAGATTTTGGCATGTCTCCACACTGCACAATAAGACTGACAAATTTTCTTTTTGCTGTTGTTACTCAGTGTTATAGCTGACTGTAATACTACTTACACTTCTGCAAGAGTTCAGCTCGGAGAGTGGCACTTTTAGGTTTCCTTTTCAGCTGGAAGTGTTTCACTGGGGGGGTAAGTGGCCCCGCTAGTGTTGTCAAGGCATTTTTGTTTAAGTACTGGCATTCCAACGGCAACATAGCTGATGTTTCACCTTCACTTACTGCGTAAAGAGTTAACACAGTACACAGGGCTATAAGCATCTCTTTGACAGAATATTGCAAAACATTCTACAACTAGACTCTATAGGTGTTTAATGAAGTTTAGATAACTCATTTAAACACCATGAGTAATTGAGTTCTGACCTGAACAGTACACAGCCAGTTATTAGGGTGTTTGTTTTCTACATTAAGTTTGTAAGCTCCTATACTAACTACACCCAAACAACAGGAATTTTAAGTGTGCTACAGTTTTAAGATAGATAAAAATGGTAAAAATCCTCAGTTTCTTTCAAAAACTACACGTAGAATCATAGAATCACTCAGGTTGGAAAAGACCTTAAAGATCATCAAGTCCAACCACAACCTAATCATACTACCCTAACTAACAGCCCTCTGCTAAATCATGTCCCTAAGTACCACATCCAAATAGTTTTTAAACACATCCAGGGATGGCAACTCAACCACCTCCCTGGGGAGCCTATTCCAGTGCTTAACCACCTCTTCTGTAAAGAAGTGTTTCCTAATATCCAACCCAACATGAAAAGGAAACTACTGAAAAGTCAAACCAAAACTGTGAACATACAAATGATCACAGAATCAGAATGGTTTGGGTTGGAAGGGACCTGTAATATCATCTAGTTTAAGCCCCTCTGCTATATGGAGGGACAGCTCCCACTAGACCAGTTTCCTCAAACCCCTATCCAGCCTGAGGCTAAACATCTCCACTGTGGGGGCATCCACAAGATCTCTGGACAACATATTACGGTGTTACTACCCTCACCATACCGCATTTCTCTCTAACATCTAGTCTATATCTACCCTCTTCCAGTTTGAAGCCATTTCGCCTCATCCCATCACTACATGCCCTTATAAAAGGTCCCTCCCCAGCTTTCCTGTAGGCCACCTTGAAGTACTGGAAGGCCACTATAAGGTCTTCTTGGAGCGTTCTCTTCTCCAGGCTGAAAAGCCCCAGCTCTTTCAGCCTATCCTTGGAAGGAAGGTGCTCATTTATTCATAGAACCAAGTTTGAGTCACTCCATTATTGGCTTACAGCAGTCCTAACTCCAAAGCCACTTCTGACCACTAATGCCTACAAGTTTATTTTTTTTCCTGGACAATTTGCTAAATCAAACCCACCTAAACAGGAATACGTTTGCTACCTGGACATCAGCAACCCAGTTCTCCTTTTGACCAGTCCCCCAAACTCCTCCATTTGCTGGCTAAAGGAAGACTGAACAGAGAGCACCTCACGTGCCCAACACAAACGTTGCTGCTCGCAGACACACAAGGTACTGCAAAAAAAAATTTACTGCTGTCTTTAATACAACAACATACAAGATAGAAGTAAATTAAACTGTTATTGCACATTAATAAGGTAAGATATTATTACCCAACACCACACATACAAGTCTGTCTACAAAGCCAGTGAAACAACATTAGCTTCTATGTTGCCCTTTACAGTTACGTAGGCACCTGACATGCAAGCTCCGATGATTTGTGGAAAGATAATTTAAGAGGTTACCATTCCTCAAGTATCACAGTTGCCCATTCAGGAATATACCAGGTCATGAACTGTGGCAGTTGAGAGAAGACATACAGCTTGTCCCAGCACCAATACCACTCAGATACCTCAACTGCCTGGGCAGAGACAGGCTATTCCTGAAAAGAGGTCCCATATTTCTGTCATTTTCAACAGACACTTACCTTTTTCTCTAAGTTCTCCTAAAATATCTTGAACATTGGGATTCTGTTCTTCAAGATCAAGGTTAAGGGAGCCAGTATCTGGAAAGGATTTTAAAATATCAGCTACCATTAAGACCCAGGGGTCTGAATCCAAGGTAGCGAGCTGGACAATTTCAGTCAGTGCCCCCTTCATCTAACAAAAAAAGAAAAAGAAAATCAGCCAATTGGAAACAGTTTTAAACAAGCTGAAGTTGGGTTAATTTTATATTTGTTAGACACTAGGATAAACATGCACAATGCTTTACTACTAGGGAAGGGAAGAAGGAGACTACATCACAGTTAAACATTAACTCTAGAACAAAGCAAAGAATGAACCAAGATTTGTTTTTAACGTTGCTTTTGGTCAATTTAACAAGTGCATTTTGAACTGCGACAGATCAAAGCTTTGTTCACCTCAGATAATTTTCACTAAATACAAGCCAGATTCTTATGGTATTGTCTTGGTACGTTCTACAGCCCACTTATAACTTTATGTACCCACACCTTTATCAGTGATAACAATATTCAACTAGAAAACAAGTTACTTAAAAAGGCATCTAAATGAAGATGGACCCCTTTTTGTGCTATAGAACAGCAGCTAGACCATTTCTACATCACACCAACATAAGCCAAGTCCCCAGAATTTTAGTTAGGCCAAAAATTACATCTCATGCTAATGAGCTACTGCTCAACATCTGCTTATTGAAGTTGTGCACCCAGCTCTCTGCTACCAGAAGTAGCAAGGTTTTCTACCTAGCGAAAGCTTCAACAGTGAGAAGGATATACTTTTCAATCATCTATCTCTAAAATGGGAAAGAACATGTAATATGAATAAGATTGTCACAGTCATTTTTTAAATTACTGACCAACATGTGATAGCATTATGGAAAAAAGATATCAAGAGACCACAGCTGGGATTTGACTGAGTGTATTACGAATTCTTAAATCAGCTGTTTTACTTCATTCATAGCCAACTTAAACCCCCAAAATGAAGACTGAACTCCTGTTTCATTGCTCTTCTTATGTAAGCATTAAAGTATTAGCTTCAAAGAACTGAGGTTTCTGAGATGTAACATGTCGTCTGTCAAGCAATATAACAATAAAGCCATGGAAAATAATTCAGACATACTCTGTCTGTATGGTATTAGCATTAAAGGAGTTTTAATTAAAAATAGGGAAAACATTTCACTTTTGATTTCTCACAACCCACTATGGCACATGTAGCTAATTACTATGACTACCTGTTTCTGAACACAGGGAAATGAGCAGAAAGATTCCTCTTCATCTTAATGGTTCCATTCTCTCCCTTTATTTAGAACTGACCTTTTCTCACACGAGAAAGATTTCATAAGCTTAATCTAACATAACTCTGGGAAATGAAAGCTAAATATTTGCCCTCCATACCTCAGCACTCAGAAGCAGACTAACACTGACATTTCCCAATTCCTTTCAGTCACACAAGTTTTTTGCCCTCTGACTTCAGTCAGGTATAAAACAGAAGGTAGTTTGTCCTTCAGGCATTCTGTTTAAGGCTCACGTTAACATTGCCAATGAATTACTGATCTGATTCATCAGAAAACAAGCATCTCCCAACAGCACTGCTTTACGCATAACACCTCAAAACACGCAATGATAACTGATGAAGCTGTGGTTTATTTCTAACTTGTTTACCAGCTAGACGCTGGATACCAAAGATGGAGACAAGTGTGTAGAATACAATTTCTTCTATCAAAAACCCAAAGATAATGGTTGAAAGAAAGATTTCTCCTGCATCCTCCTAATTGATCCCACGTCTGCTCCATAAAACTCATCCTTGTAGCAAATGAATTAATAATCACAGAGCTACAACCTGTACTATTTACATTCCTACCACAGCTCTTGTCAAGCAGTTACACCCACACTACATTCAGGGCAGGGCAGTTACAGCTCAGGCATTAACACTGTCCAAGCACCTGCACCTCACAATTTTGGTTCCCTCAAGGAAGAAGTGGAAGAACAACTTGTCTACCTAGCACTGGAGAAGCAACGCTATCAAAAAGCCTCACGGCAGCTAGAGAAACAACAGTCACTGTCACACAGGCAAGTGAAGCACACTAACAAGCACTGTGACCTCAGCTGAGACCTCACCTGTAGTGAGTACAAGTTTGCATTTAGTGAGCTTGGATTTGAGTTCTGACCCAGGTTTTTCTTCAAATTGTGATTTTGATATGTTTCCCCCCTTTGCTATTGAACCCACAGCTGAGAAAAAGCTGTAGTTTGAGAATTTGTAAAGTACAACTCACTAAGAAAGAATCCTACTTTTTTCCTACCAAGCACAGCCATAATCTCAAACTTATAATTAAGATTGCAACACTGGGTCAAGCAAGAGTCCAATCAGCTCCAACCAGCATCTTGTTAAGCATGAACATCAAGATCTGAAGCAACATGTTCTGGCACTTCTCTCATCTAAAACCCAGGGATCTTAAGTACTTTTCTCAGCCTGCTGGCATAGGACATCACTAGAAACATGAGAAGAAAGGATCAGGCAGGATGGAAAAAGTCTGGGAACAGAGACAAAGGGAGATTAATAATGGCTGTGCAGGAAGAGCATAGAAACAGCACTGTGGGAATGAGTATATATATAAAAAAAATATTACTAGGAATACACAAAGTCATAGCTGCAACAAGACTTCTTGTAAAGCAGTCTCACTAATTTGCTTTCCATTAAGCCTAAATTGGCATGTAGCTGTACCTTTAAACAAGTGCACTGACTAATAAAGCCAATCAAGTTTTAAACTTCCAGGCAATAGAGAAGGTGGTGTTTAATAAGTATCTGCAATATTATAGAGCATCTTCATTAAGCTAAAAGCATTGGAAAGTACAGTATTAATATCTACTCAATTCAAAACCAAGATGGATCAAATAGCATCATAGTATGTTTTATATTTTAATCATGAAAAAGCATAGAAGTGGCCAAGAGTAACATTAGAGAGAAATAAACCCCATCGCATCCAGAAAAACAAAGAACATTAAATATAGGCCAAAAAGAACTGCCTGTCTCTTCTGACAAGGGAGGCAAAAGCTTAGTCCTTAGTGCTAGTATTCCACAGCTCCCATTTCCATGGTTAGGAGACTCCTGGTTCATGTAAGCAAAGAAAAGCCTGACTTGTGCTCTCTTCTTCATAGCTACTGTCACAAAAGGGCACACCACTGCAGGGACAGGCAGTGCCTTCCTTTCACAGTCCTCACTCCAGACTTGACTCTAACATTACTCTGACTCTGAACACAAAACCTTGCTGTGAATCAAGTTAACAGGAAGGTAACCAAACAGAAGCAGTATCTGCCAAAATCACCACCGAAACTCTGGCAGCGCTGCAATGAGCATTAGGCATTGTTTAAAATAAGCATGATAATCTAGGGGAAAAAAAAAGGAGCAAAAAGCTTGGAAGCAGAGAGATTTGAGAGCTTGCAAATTCTGCCCAGAGAACTGCAGCAGGAATGGATATTTTTGATAACTGCCTACAAAACACTTAACTGCGAAAATGAAAATGGAGCCAATTATTCTTATTAGTCAGCAGGAACAAATAAGTTGTAATGAGGTTCACAGCATGATAAAAATTCATTTATTACTTAGTTTATTACTTATCCCACTGGATTAAGTCACTAATATGTATACAATACTTGGAGCAGCAAATGAAAACATATAGTGTAAAACTACAGGATATTACATTTGAGAAGCAATGTAACACTTCAGCTAAGGACCAAGCTTTCAAGAGAGAACACTGAAGATTTGCTTGTCTAGACTGCAGCCTTCACAGAGGTTTAGAAAGAACCAGCAGCCAATTAAATCCTTTCTAAGCCAAGTAATACCACACTTTTCATGATTCCCACACAATTTTTTAATCAGATGTCTGTTCCCAAATTGTTTCCATGTTACACTATGCCAGTTAAAATGCTATTATAAAGAAAATTTTTTTTTTTTAAATTTTGTTTGAGAAGAAAACTAAGTTCAGTCTATTATTCAGAGAAAGGAATATCATTTAACATGTTGCATAACACACCTCTTATTATATCCTGCATCCACTATCACAATGCCCAAAGTTTTACAAAGCTGATGCAATATATTTTCTAACACTATTAAGTTTCCAAATGCCAGCTCAGTATTCCTCACACATCATCTACAGACTGGCACATGGCATGGAAAACGTACATATGACTTTCCAAAGGGACTAATAAAACACTTCCACAGTTGAGTTAAATCATTTTTACATATGGGAGTGATTTCCAAGTGAAGAAATTTGCTTTCAGGCTCTTACAGGTAAAGATTCCTTAATTTGAATCATTTTAAAGATTCTTTACAATTTCTCCACACTACTCCAGGTAATTTTCGCTTACACAACAGCCTATGTGACCTTATGTGTACTCCCCAGACCTCATGCATTTTCAACTTAGAAGTACATAAAAGCTAATATGTAATTCTGGTTGTGTGCTTATCTCCCCACACCCTGCCTAGTATACATATAAATGAAGTCAAAGCAGCTGTGTCCTATCCCAGGGTCTGGTGCAAGCACAGCTGAGGTGCAGGTTACAGAAACATGGGGGTAGTAAGGGACTTCTGGAGATCGTGAAGTCCAGCTCCTTGCTAAAGTAGGTTCCCCACAGTAGGCTGCACAGGAAAGCATCCACACAGGTCTTGAATATCTCCAGAGAAGGAGACTCCACAATCTCTCTGAGTAATTAAATGCATGCTATCTCCATAACCATGACTACAAACCATGCCACACATGGCACAAGTGGAAATTCCTCAACTTGGCAGAAGAAGCTTAATGTTTCTCAATTCTTGCTCCAACCACCAGCAGCTGCTGTTGTTTGGTAGGAACAAGCCAACTGCAGATGAGGTATGGTCCAGGGCTAGTGAAGGAGCTCTTCTGGACCTGTGAAGCCTGCTTACAGTGCCAGCTGTACCCCAACAGAGCAGGGGAGGAAAGGAAAACACCAGCTGTTCTCAGACAGGTAACACAAAGCAAGAAGCGTCAGGTCCTGCTCGAGGGGAAAACTGGCTACAAGAAGGTGGGTAAAAATGCTGCTGAGTGCAGACACCAGTTCTTCCATTCCCAAAGATTCAGCACTTGCTGCTGTCCTTCCTAAACGTGAGATGTTCAGCTCACCTACGCACCCAGCCACTACTACTGGGGAAGAAGGCAGCCCCACACACATCCCTGTGCCTGGCCAGCGGAACCGTTCCACTGCTCCTAATCCTGGAACAAAAGCAGACTCCGAAAAGCCCCCTTATCCAAAGCAGCAGCAGCAAAAGGACAAAACCTGTATCATAACTACGGGTCAGTGTGGTGGTGTGAGAAAGGTCTTGGGTCCAAACTGCTTTCAGCCAGATGCCCAAAAGAGCAGCAAAACCTGCGCTACACTCCTTCACCGAGGGGAACCCGAGCCCCCGCACCACATCCCGGCCTCAACCGGCTCTGCGGGACGGGACCTGGCTTCCTCCCCTCCCCAGAAGGCGAGAAGGGAGAAGCGGGGCTCGGCCTCCCCTGCCCAGCGCTGCCCTTGCGGCGCGGCCGCCCCCTCCCTCAGGGCCGGCTCCAACCGCCCGCAGGCCGCGCGAGGCGGCGGCGGCCCCGCGGATTGCGCTTCGAAACATAACGAAGAGAAAAAGGCGGGTGGAGGAGCTGATACCGGCACCGCCGCACGCCTCCTTCTCCCCTCACGCTGCCCCCGCACGGCGCTCACCTCATCCACCGCCCGGCGGGGCAGGTGCAGCATCCCTAGCAGCAGCTTCAGCTTGACGGCCGAGGAGAGGCCGTGAAAACAGAGGCGGATGTTGTCGATCACCGACGCCGTGAGCAGCGAGGCGATGCTCGGCGGCGCCCACAGTTCGTCCGTGGAGCCCAGTTTGTTGTGCAGCCACAGGCCGGTGTCGCTCTCCCGCATCGACGCCATCTTGGGAGCGGAGCGAAAAAAGAGGGGGTTCTCCACAGGCATTTTATGAAGACACCTAAGAGGAGGAAGGGAGGGGGTGAGGACCCCTGCGGGTCGCAGGCTGGTTCGTAACCCAAAATGGCGGCGCCCTATGAGTTTGCTCTAGAGAAGGCGGAGATTCTTCCGTAACCTAAAATGGCGGCGCCCAGGCGGAAAATAGCGAGGCTGTTCTCCTCTCCCGCTCAGATGCAAAATGGCGCCTGCCATCGCGGTTCTTCCGTAACCCAAGATGGCGCCGCATTAGCGCAGGGATGTTTTATTGTGGGCTCCCGCTCACTGCGCCTCATGGCCTTCCTTAACGTCCCGAGGGCTCTCATGGGTACTGAAGGGCTGGGAACCAGGAGCCGTGCGGCGTGGTTCCGAGACAGGAGCCCACACCCGCTCCTCCCGTTGAGCTGAAGGCGGGAGGAGGGCTGAAGCCCCGCTGGCAGCCCGCCCTTCCGCCGCGAGGCTGGGCCGGAGCGCCGGGCAGCGCTACGGCTCTTCTCTTCACGGACCCCATGTCCGACCGTCCCCTTTAGTGGCTCCCACGAGGCCCTGTCAGCGCCTTGCTGCTGTGTTTCTGGCTAGTAACAAGCCACAGCGCATCCAGCTCCCTGTCTCTGGGTTCTTTGTCGCTCCCTTAGCCTGTTAGTCTTCAGCATTCGTTTCAGCCCAGTGCCACAGTGAGCTAGGTGATGAAAGCCCTGTAATGCTGCCGGCTGACTGAAGCAGGGAGTGCTTTTTTCCACTTTTTTTCCCCCGGAGATTTCTGTGCTGGGTGCCTCAGGGGTGTAGGAGGGTATCTCTGACTGGGAGATGAGAGGTAGTTGCTCAGAAATAGAGGATTATAAGTATGCTTTCATATTCCCTTGTGATTCAACTCCGTTATTTAAATATGAAACATTAATCCATTTCTTAAGTCCCAGAAGACCTGGAATTATCTGTGTGTGGCATAAATGGTTCATTTTAGTGTCTGTAGATGAAAACAAAGCAAAGAGGAGGTAGGAGTGCGCAGCAAACTGATTTTGCTGTTCTAAGCTTTTGAATACAAATGTTTTCTTTATGAATTCCTTTTATGTAGGAGGCTGTTTACAACCTGATTTTTCCAGCAGAACAGAGAAATTGTTGCTGGAGAGCTTTAAGTTCTTGATGTTCTCTCAAAACTGCTGTGGAAAATAGAATCATAGAATCATTGAGGTTGGAAAGGACCACTCAGATGATCTAGTCTAACCATCAACCCATCACCTCTATGCTCACTAAACCATATTAAAACTTATGCTGTTTCATTGTTACCAACTCCTGCACTTTGTTTTTACTAACACCCAAATGCTAAGTTCTTAAAACTCAGGCACTGGCTTAACTGTAGTGCAAAATCCCATTGAGTTCACTGGAACTGTTGTGTGGCAGGAGGGTGAGGTTTGGACTGCAGATTGCCTTAGGTGGTGAGCATGAGTTTCTGTACTTCATGAAATCACTTAATTGTAGCAGAATTCCCCAAATCTTTTATGGCACAGTTTTAAAATCTCACTCCTAATTCTGCTTTGTGCTATATTTTTGCTTTGAAAAAAATAAATAAAATAAAATTGAAATTATATAATCCATGAGATATTGCAATTAAAAAAAATCTAGTTGAGCAAGGAAAGTTAGTGGTGACTTCACCTCCAAATGGAAGAGAAAAGTAACAGCCAGTTTCAGAGGTGGGTTGGAGGAAGCAAAACACGGAACATGCAGTGGTTTGTGCAGCAGCTATCTTCAAGGGGTAGTTAACACAGAGACTTGAACTCATTCTACTAATGTTTTTTAAGCATCAGATCTGACAAATACAAGTCCCTAGAGCAAAGCGTGGAATTGTGCAGCATTGCTTTACCACTTACTTCTCACGGACTGAATGCTTTTGAAAGGGTAACTTTGTTCTGGTAAACTTTGTGTGGATTTAGGTACCAGTTTTCTCAGACAGTGCTGAAGTTACGCACTGATGGAAGCTAGGGGAGTATTATTACATAGCTTGTCTCTATGCCTTCCTTGAGGCACTTATTTTTGGCCACTGTTGAGGGTTAGAACACTCGGCTGCATAACTCTCTGGTATGAGCTAGTGTAATCACTTACATTCTTATCTGAAGTGTGTTTTGAAAAGAGAGCTTGCTCTGTGAAGCATATCTGGAATATAAGTTTTTATATAGTCACTATGGCTCCAATTCTATCACCTGCAAATTCATCCCTATCAGTTGCTAACTGAATGGGCATGCAGATGCTGTGGAGGTTAAGACAAAGTTCCAGCTAGGTTTAAGAAGAGGTATTCGTCCCATTTAGTTACTAGTACCTTAACTTTACGCTTGAATAAAAGAAAAAATTATTTATTTACTTACATTTGGTTTTTTTTTTTTTGAGTAGTTAGTTTCAACTATAAAAATGCTCATTCCTCAGGGGTTTCTTATGCTAGAAATGGCATACTTGATTTTTCTGGAAGTTTTTGTATCCCATCTGATGTTGCATTACACAGATAACTGTCTAGGGACAGTTTCTCCTCTCAGTTACAGGTTCCTGACTCAAAGTAGGTGATGCTGAACATCACATTGCAGAGAAACATTCACACACACTACAAGAAAGATTGGGGGGGACACATCCTATATTCATTTGCTTGGTTATGATAGTATTCAAATAAAAATAGGTATAGACAAAGATTTGTCTCTTTAAATCCACTTTATAATTGTTTTAAGAAAAGTATGTCTTCATCTTGTAAAAGAACAAGTGTTCCAGGAATTTCTCATCCTGCTGTTTGTCTTGTTGCCTTTCAAAAAACAAATACACTAGGTAGATAAGTCCTGCATTATTGAGAGCAGGGTGCTGTGCTGCCTGTCAGATTGAAAATAATTGTGTATACTAGGAAGGGGTTACAGGGATGGTGCTTAGGGTTTCCCTTCGTGACCAGAAGTAGCAGTGCATCTTTGGTGGCCACCAGGAGTGATACATTGGCAGGCAGAGGTTGGAAGTTGGTATGAAGTTGAAGTTGGCATTCAGCTCTCAGAGAAAAGGAAGCTGCTTTTACTTTGTTTTAGAAAGCAATGAGGCATGTGCAATAAACATGACACAAGCATTAGCAGCAGCACTGTGTTTCCACTGGCATCCCATCCTGCAATGGCAAGTATGGCAGTTTCTGAGCCAACAAGGGTTCAGGCTGTGATTCATACCACAATGACAGGAGCCAGCCTCAGCAGGCAGACAAAGCACTTGTGTGCTACTATGCAGTATGGCCTCCATTCCCCATAAAAACATTTCCATTAACTTTGAATAACTGAGATTTTCAGAGCTAAAATTAGATTTATCTGCAGTTTTATTTCTACATTCATATGCGTAACTGGAGTTCTAAACACTGCAGGTTTTTGTGGGCATTTCTGCCCACAGTCACCACAGCTGATTCCACTGATACTAACAGGGCCACTCACCTGCCTTTGCTACCTCCTATACTGCCTTTCTTTCACTCTTAAGGGTAGTAAGTTGCTTAATACATTATTGTAGCAGAAGAAGGTATTAAAATAATAATTTAGAACGTATAAAAAATGCAGAGCCCAATTACTCAGCTCTCAGTTACTTTTTAATAAACAAGAATGCAATCACAGTAAGCATAAATCAGATGTAACAGTGTGAAAAATTAAAAACCATTACGAGTTTTTAGAAACCATTAAGACCTAAAACACAAAGTGCTGGGTGCAATAAACACTTTCTTTCAAAGCCTCTTGTGCATGCATGGTGCCTCAAAAGCTCTCTGCTTATGATGATATGAAAAAGGAGTAGAAGGACCTTGCTTGGTAGATAAGTGATTCAGGAGAATCTTTCAAGATCATCTGTTACTTGACATGCCAAGGAATATAATATGCTGTGTAAAATATAATATTCCTCTTACAGGTGGTAATGCTTCTAGCCAGCTTTCAGAATTAAACTGTGCTCCCAAATGAGGGGTATTAAAGGCAAGCAGCATCAGCCCTTGCTGGGACAACACTGTGACCTCTGACAAGAAAGTCACCAAGCTTTCAAGGAAGATTATTTCTCTGTTCATTGCATCCAGGGACAAGGATTTCTACTTTTTAATTTCCCAGATGTTGTCCATTTCTATGAGACGATGCTCTTTTTGTTTCTGTACATACTAGAATAATAGAATCATTAAGGCTGGAAAAGACCTCTAAGATCATCTATTCCAACCATCAGCCCATCATCACCTTGCCCACTAAACTACATCCAAAAGTGTCACATGTACACTTTTCTTAAAAACCTCCAGGGACAGTGATTCCACCACTCCCTGGGCAGTATTTAGTTAAAGTAGAATCTGGCAGCTGCTCTGAAAAATTTTGGTCCTAATTCATCTCTTTTAATGACTGTGGGAAAATACTCTCCCTGCCACACCTCTCTCATTGAAGTCCAGTTTATTGATGGCTTGCATTGTTTGCAAAGAGTCTGCACTGTTGCCTTAAATGGGCTCACACCCATCCTGACATCCACTGTGATCCCCTGGTGCTTTGCTCTCCAGTCAGCTTTCAATCTATGGTTATTCCTGAGGTTATTCTGCTCTGTTGAGTTCTGCAAGGCATCCGCCTGATTCTCAAATGTGTTGGGATCTCTCTGGATTAACCTCTACCAATCCTTATAACAGCCACTGGTATACATAAATTTGTGCAGAGTGCATTCTGCGTCATCATCTGGGCCTGATCTAGATGATGACCACTGTTCTTCGCTGGCTGCATGCCAGCCTTTGGTCTTTATTGATTGAGTGTGGTTGTTCATCCAGTTTTCAAAACATATGATTGAGTGGTGGCCTAGCCCATGCTTTCCCAAAAGAAAGAATGTTTTTGTGTCACTGTATAAAGTAGAAAAGAACTGAAAATTTGTTATCTTTCAGGCATAGATTCCACATTGAGCACTGGCAAAATATTTGAAAGCCCAGGTGGCAGAGAAAAGATATGCTAAAATACTCCAATAAGAATTATGCTACTTTAGTTTTACCATAAAGTCATGTTATATCACAGATTCCTTATTTCATTGTTCGAGAGACTTCACAGGAAGTATAGTTGGATCTTTAGAATTTAGGAGTTGGAGGTATCTGGGCCTAAAACTCTTTCCATATTTATGAGTTAATGGAGAACCTGGATGTCACAGCCTGCTTGCTCTGGATTCTGAATTCCATTAGTAGCAACATAGAATAGAGACAGTTGAAATTATCAGTAACAGCCATAGGCAAAATTTCCCACTTTTAAAAGTTGCTACTGACTCAGGGTGTTTTCAAACTTACAACTGTTGTATTTTTTACTCTTATAATTAAAAGAGAAATCCTCTATTGCAGTATTTGCTTATGTTCAGATTGTTTTGTTCATTTGTTGATACCCGCTTCTGTGTTTGTGCAGCCTGTTGGGCAGAATTCCAGTGGAACAGCATGTACCTCTTTTCTGAGGACAAGATCAGGACCTGAGAACAAGACCACACTGTAATGTGAAGCTTGGCTGTGAAAATACCTGTCTGCTGCTGTAAGTTGGAATACAAACAGATCAGGCTATAGGAGCAATCTGTAAGTGTGATACACAGGACAGTCCAGGTAACCAGTAAAGTTGTAATTTCTTTTTATCACTTAGCAGTTACAAAATAGCAGCTTCAGGGCAGTGATTCATTAATACACGTTTTGATTAATGAGCATTGTTTGGGTAATACTTTTTGCAAAGGAGTTCTAATAATAGTGCATACAAAGCCTGAGAATTCACTAAAAAGAAGTAGTTGATGTGAATTGTTAATTATAAAATTATACAGATTCACCCACAGTGCATTTCAAGCACATAAAAGCTTTCCAGCTTGTCTGAGTAAAGTGACAGCATTAGTCTGTCAGATACTGCTTTGAGAACTGGAGCCTTTGTGAAAAACAGATTATAGTGGAAAAAAGGACAGAGACCTCCAAAGATCATGAACAGATATGTGTAACTGAGGAGTCCTGCTGAAATTAAAGCATCTCTCATAGTTCAAGTGGTACTGTAAACTTGAACTATAGACACTTAAAGATGGAATTGACTAAATGCTTTTCAAGTTATTTTTCCAGAGAATTATGCCAGAGAATTTTCCCCACCCATCTTACCCATCCTTATGTTTTTACAATCACTTTTTCAGGTTTTCAATTTTTGCTCTTTTTATTGCTATGAGAAAAATTCAAATAAACAGGAAAAAATTATTAGCTTTATGGAGTTTTAGGATGTAAAAAGCAGTGAAAATGATTGTAGATCTTTTAATCTGTTTCAGTTCTAAGTTATCTTAAGCTTTTTATGCCATTTTGTATGCCCATTTGTTTGTTAGTATTTATCAACCATATTAAAGTGTTTTCTGTAAAAACTTTGACTTTTTAAAGCAATAACATGGTAGTGTACAAGAAAGGTTAGAATTGTAGGAAGACAGATCTTCTGTCAGAATTGTTAAAATGTTAAGTACAGGCTCTACAGTCACAGTCCCTGCATTTGGTCTGATGATCTGATGGACACATTGACAGGGAATTTCAAATGGCATACATCTGCTTTACAAGTACTATTTGTATCTGTAGATACCATTCTGATTTCAACTGGATTTTACTACCTGACAATCCTTGATAATTCTAGCAATTTTTGAAGTTTTTACACATGACCTGTTTAACAAAGAGGGAGCTAAGAAATAAGAGGGATGAAATGATGTGCTCTGGACCAGGTAGGAAGTCAGATATTTAATTCAGTTCTTCAGCAACGAATTGATGATTTTTCCTCTTCATTTTAACTCTTTTGAAATTTAACTGATCTAAACTTGGAGGAGAAAGCTGGAGTTAAAAAATACTGTTGTACTTTCCCAGTTTGTAGTTGTATTAATGAAGGGAGTGCTTAAATCAACTTAATCTGTCAATACCTTTTTTTCTTAGGGTGATATGACTTAGCTTGAAGGAAAATGTATTGAATTGATGCTTCTATGTAAGAGTTTTTGATCTACAGCTCTGAAAGCCCATGTTAAAGCAGACATTTTAGACAGATTTTCAGACTGATGGAGGAGGAAAGTGTGAGAAGAGAAAAATGAGAAAATTTTTAAAAGAATGATTGTATAAACATTTTGATATCATTAAATGCTTTACAAAAGGTTAATGATAGCAATTTTCACCTCATTTCTTCAAATCATAGGTGTTTCTTTTTTTTTCTAATCAGCGGGGCATCATCATTGAGGTTAGTGGTAAGATCAGGCATGAAAATGAGCATGCTGAGCACAAAGCAATCTGTCTGTCGAGTATAATTGACTCACAGGTACTAACTACACTGCTTCACTCAGTAATTATGTGCATATAATATACTGTGTGACTAGGTGGAGTGGACTGTTTGTACAGTGACATGAGAAAAGCCCAGTAGTGCAATTGTATCTTAATTACATACCAAATTATATAAAACAAGGAATACTCCACCACTGTGTACCAGCTTCTTTGCAAACTGCCAAATGCAAAACTACCAGATGCCATGTAAAGGTATCAGTTTAATCTAAAACATAAAATGCAGCCTTGAAAGTGAAGTGGAAATACACAGTGCTCACTTGCAGGCTACCCTGAGCCTTTCCACAATAGCTGGGAGAATAACATGGTAAAATGGAGCAGGGATCAACCAGTCCTTTGCACATTTGACAACATGGCACAAAAATGGAGAACAGGAAATGATCAAGCAGAGGGAAAGCTGATCCCAGGCAAGCATGGGATGGTGATGAACACAAATACAATGACAGATATATATATTTTTCTTAATTAATTATCTTTCGCTTTTTGCTTTTTCACTGTTGAAATGTTCAAAGATGAAATGCTTGTCCCTGATGGTTCACATACAAACCTTTACAAATTGGTTCCAGAACCAGCTTTTTAGAAGGAACTTAGGGAGGAGTCTCAGAGGAGGGCAATTCAATCACACATGCAGATTTTTGAGAAAATTCAATTAAAGATATTTGGAATACTGTTTCCAAAAGTTTTTATGAGGCACAAGGACAGCAGAAAGTGGGCATAGAAGGAGATCTATATAAAACCATAAACATGGAAACACTTGGTATTCTAATAGCTGATTAACAAGTGTGATCATACCTTCTTACCTGATGCATTGGAGTTGTGTTTTACTTCCTACAGCTTGAATTAAAGAGGCAGGATCTGCTACTGACAGCTCAAACAATCCATATCCTCTACGGATTAGCACAGAGAAGGAGCTTTAACAACAACTCAGTGCAGTGCTACAAGCCCAGGGTATACAGTCAAGTATCCACTGAAGCATGGGACATAGATGCCCAAACTGTTAGCTACAGGCATAATTATATCAGTGTGAGGATAATTAGTTTAAATAGCAAAATACTCTATATTCATTTAAATGTTCCCTATGTTTCTAAACATTTCTTGTTTATTTTCTTAAGTCTGTTCATATGCAGAGTTGAGCTACTTCAGTAGTTTAGTAATGGCTTAGTTAAATCAAAACTCTGTAGTATCTTTTACAATTCTAGTATGACAATAAAGTTTACACTGATGTATTTATATGTATAAATTAATCCACAGTAATCAGGGTTCTCTATGCTAACTAAGAAATTTAGAAATTAAATTGTTATTTCATTGCAACCCTTATGTGTGTCAACAATGGATGCTTCTGGAAGTCTCAGAAATATCAGTCTTACTGTGCTTTTAATCTACAGGGATTCCTTTTATAGTTGCTTTTAAATTTCATGCAAAAATGCTTCTGAACCTTTTAAGGGTGCAAGGTTAAGCAGTCTAAAGTTAGAAAATGCCAGAATTCATGTTGTTTGCAGAAATTTTAATTTGCATCTTTTATGCTCAGTTAAATGGTAGTCATTAATGACAAGCCCATTCAGCGCATGGAAAATATGGTAGTTACTTAATGAACAGCTATTCAGTTTTTTGTTCTCTCTGTTGTTCAGTGTTGGACTCCATGCCTTACTACCTACTGTTCAGACTCTGCTCTGAAGACAATTACTGATTTTGTGACAGTCTTTTGAATGGTATACAACAGTGTAGGGCTTCACAGATTTCCACAAACAGAATTCAATGCATTCTGATAACATACAGAAAGGAGAAGATAGCATTACAGCTACTGACATTACATTTCAGCCACATTTTTAGCAATAAAAGCATAAGGTTAGAATTTAGCCTTTTAGGAAAACTTAGGACCCAGTTCATGGCCACCCATGAAAAATGTGTTTTTTAAGTGATTTAATAGTCTAGTTTAGAGACAAAACTAGAATCCAGTCCTGAGCAGCAGCTGCTCTTTCTTCCTGCATACACTGAGTGCAGAATCCACTGGACAACATTCATTACACAATCCTGATTCATCTACATTCACTCTGTTGCTATATATAGATGGATACCAAAAAGCCAGATATACTGTCCTAAAAATGACAGAACAACTATAAATGTAAGGAAAGGAAAACAAAAAGCCTGTCCTTGAGAGTTTTTCTAGCAAGTCTGGTGGTCCAGCTATTTTCCTTCCTCTCTAACCTCTGCGCAACTCCGTATCTTTGTTAGTGCTGATGGGGTAGGACATTCCCAGAGGACATCCGTTTCTTACAGCTTCTCTGGGGTCATCCAGCTTTAGCTGGACACTGATGGCATGTTGTTATGGATGGCTTGGAACAGTGCAAGGAGTACCTCAGCTATGGTGTGATACACATGTAGACAAAGGCTGTGGGTCTCCCTTTGTGACTGACAGCCAGACATGGATTTGTATCTTCCCACTATATATGCCATTGTTTGTGTGCTACTAGTGTTCCACCTCCTCCCACAGCCAGCAGAGTTATCTCATAGAAGCATACAGTTTGACTTAGGTTTGTTTTCTTCAGAAAGATTTCCCAGCAGAGCTGGAAGTCTTCAGCAGAAATAAGCAGATTGTACCCATTTTAATTTTGTTTTTTTTTTCTCCACTTTAAAGATGGAATGGCATCCCACATCCTATCAGAACTTTGTGGAAGACAACATGGCACAGTGTTGTAAATTGGATTAGAAACCTTGCCCTGGAAGATGGGTGAAAAAGTTCATAAGATATGTGGAAAACTGTTGCAAGTTAGTCACACAACACAGGGTTCTCTTGCCAGGAAGTTTCTTTATTGCCGTCATGATCGTGATCATGATGTACATCTCTCTCTCTCTACTTTCTAAAGCAAGCCTTTTATATTCTAACATGCACATTCAGTACGTTTCCACTAAAAATCCATTGGCTAGAAAGCAAGCAAATTCCATAACAAGTCTTCATAATCAGCAGAAAGTTTATCTTATGGCTAAGTACAAAACACCCCTGTTTATTCAGACCCTCTGTCTCCTTTCCAGAGCCTCATTTATCAACAAGTCGAGACTCAAAGAGGACGAGCTGACCTCTCCATCTCCCACAGAAAACTAGTGCTTAGATGGGGAGAGGAACCCTAGTTGCCAAGATAACTGGGGGAATTTACTGGTAGGAAAAGAAACCTTCATATGTACCCTCAAAAGGATGTGTCTTCCTGTTTCTCACAGCTGGTTCTGGCACTAATGGTGTGATCCTGGTCTGTGAACCTTTAAGATAACAGGATGACCTCAGCCCTGGGAGGTTGAGTCAGGCACTATATCATAAATCCATGCACCACTAACTTCCTCGCAGGAGAAAGATAGAATCAGTTCCTTTTCCCCTTTTCCTGATGATTGATGGAGCTAAATTCCCTGAAGAATGCAGAGATTGGGGTTGTTTTGCCTTAAAATTCCTACCAACAACCGTGTTTTAGAGTTTCTTCAGCTTCTTGATCTTTATCTGATAATGGTTGTGAGTGCCTCTGCTGGGACTGTCAGTGAGGGATCAATGCACAAACAAGATCATTCCTAGTGCTTTTCTTCTGTCTGTGGTTCTCTGGGAACTCTTCCAATAGGCAAGAAAGCACAGCACTCACAGAGGCACTAGGATACTTTCTGACTCACAGATTTTGGAGGGTGGTGCAGTGGACTGTGTAGGGTGGCACCATCAGTATATCTGAGGTCTGCAAATCTTTCTTGAGGCAGGGACATTTTGCATAAGCAGCCATGTGTGAACTATAATGACAGCATGATATAGCACAAGGGCCTCGTTCAGGTCTGTTGTGCAGCTTTGCACATGGTTGGTTGATTGAGTGGGGCTGTGCCAGGTGGAAGATGCACCGAAGTGCAGTCTACACAAGTTGTATGAACAGTGTCCTGTAAGGTCATCTCCCTGCCAGATACTCTTAGGGTGTATTGGCCTGGTGTTCCACCCAGGAGACCCTCAGGACACCCTGTCAAGTAATCTCAGAGCTAGAGCTTGCAAACTGTAAAGAGTTCCAGGGTTCAAGGACCAATGTGTCAGTAATATGGAGCAGTACAGACTTATCAACACTGCTTTGGTGGTTCTTGGAGAATTCCTGTCCCTTCTACAACAAGCAGATAGGATCCTTCTCCTTTACATTCCCCATAAACCAGCAGAAATGATTGAAAACTCATTGCTTGCCTTGAGAAATGAGGAGATGAAGTTTTTGATGGATTTTTATGCTCTGCAATAGGGCACACTTAGCGAGTCTGTATACACAGTAAATGTAAAGAGCCTCTGGTGCATAGGAGCTATCAGGAACAGAACATCATGGACTTGAGCTCACAAGCTCCCATAAGTCTTTACAGAACATATTTGAACTGGGATTTTCAAAGGCTTATTGCTTGGTGCAAATTTGTGTAGTGACTCATAGGAGCAGTGAGAAGCACATCTCCAACACAGATAGCTCCTCTGTTACATTTCAGGCCTCAGCCTAGAAGGTGCACAAAATCTTTGACAGAACAGTCTTGCATTTCTTAATATTATGATGGACATTCTTCTGTCTTCTTACTCTCTTAGACAGACATTTTAATAAACAAGTAAGCAAAATACATTTCAGGTCCTCTGCAGTCAGCTATTTTAAATGTGTGTATCTGTATAAGTAGTACAATGGGAGTTGTAGCATGCAGTAACCATTGTAAACTACTACTTCCTGAGATCTTGTACATTCTCTTTTTGCAGCTATGTTCCTCAAATCTGTTTAGCAACATATAGGGTTAATTTGAGGTGACTGATCTCAACCGTATGTTTTAAATGAGATAAATTATTAATTTATTATTGATAACTACCTATTATTCCAAACTGGACTGAAAAAATATGAAATATATGCACTAAACTTGTAGCAACAGTGTAGAACATGATGGGATACTTCTCTCACTATATGGTCTTTCTGATTGTTTCACTGCAGAAAATGAGCACAGATGTTCTTTAATTTCGGCTAGATAGATCTTTTCAGATTGTACCTGTTCTGATTTCTGCAACCAAAAGGTGGCAGCATATTATCTACTTTCCCTTTTCATCTATCCTAGCCCCTAAATAACCTTACTTGCTCAGTTTGTAGGAACGCCAGGAAGTCCAGAACAATCATGCTGACTAAGGATCTATCTGATGTGAATTCATCTGTTTATCACCTTTAAATAGAAGCAGGAATAGATCAAGGACTGGTGATTTTATTCAGTTGTTTCAATGACAGTCTGACTGACTTTTGGAGATCACAGAATCAGAATCATAGGGATTGGAAGGAACTTTTAGAGATCATTGAGTCCAACTCCCTGCTAAAGCAGGTTCCCTAGAGAGAGGCAGCCAGATGGGCCTCGAGATTTGAAGAGGGATTACATTTCAGCTCAGGTGTGTAACTTTAAGAGGGACACATACCTATGGAGCCTAACAATTTTATCAACAGTAATGATAGTTACAAAGCCTGTGCCAATAGTATCTGACAGATACTGTTGATCTGTCAGATTTGAACTCAGTTCTATTCCTACTTAGCTACTTCCTGCTGTGGTAACTAGATAAAATGCTGGTGAACATCTGAAAGAGCAGCAAAGGGGGAGGGGAAATGAATACTTTGCAAAATGTGAAAACCAAAGTGAAAAGGATAAGAATGTACCAGTAGAGTTTTGCTGCATGAGTACATCAGTTTGTAGGCTTCTGGAAAGATACTAAAAAATAACCATTTCCCATTTAGGCTGGCACAGAGATGTGGAGGAAGAAAAAGCTGCCCTCAGATCTGCAGGGATACTGTATACTATGCAATATACAATGCCACAGGTCTTCAGGAAGCACAACTGCTACACAACACCATCAGGTGTTTCCTCAACAACTCAAGGCACCCGCTAACATATCAGACTGATTCTTGCTCTCTGCACTGCTTTCCCATACTCAAACTTGGAGTCTCAGTCATGATCTTCCAGCTGCTCTTTGGCCTACCTGGGGATGGTAAAAGACACTGCTCTGGGATGTTGGCTGTGGTTAACAGCACTGTTCTGAGGTGCTATGAATCTTTTTACCAGGGTAAATAAAGCCCTTCTCTGCTTGAGAGAGTTGAGAACTTTGGTTCCCCATTTGCCAGCTCAAGAGAAGATGCACAGAAAGTTAACAATATGTCCAATCATTATGGCAGACTTTAGGGTCACTTTTGAGCTCACCAGCTGCCTATAAAAGAAATGCCTGAAGTACAAACCCCAGTAGCTGTCCAGTCTGAATCCAGAAGCTTTTCTAAAGCAATGTGATATAAACAGTTCATCTGCCTGTTGCAGCCTATAAGTGTGGTAGCAGTGAGCAGCAGTCCCTTGTGGCACTATCCCTCTTTGCTGTTCATAACTAGAGGCAGGACTTACAGAAGAAAGTTGATTCATAGACAGGGCTGGGTGGAGAATTAAGGAGTACAGCATGGAATCTGGTGTTGCAAAGAAGCATGCAGACACAGGGAAGGTCATTGAGATGGCTAAGGACTTGTAGTCCTTTGTCATTATCATAACTGCCAACATAGATGCATTTCTGACAGACTAAAGACAAAACTCTTCTAGATTTTAGGAGATATACCTCAGCAGTACAGTACCAGGTGGATAGTTTACTATCAGCACCTCTGTTGTCGTCTGTTGTGGGAATGGCTGCTCCTGGGCTGTCAGCATCTGTGGCTTGTCCTTCTGTTTAACCTGTTGTTGGTTCAGTCACCTTTCCACAATGTCTGCAGGGGCTCTTATAGGAGATGATAAAAAAAAAAATTCATGCACCTGCTAAGCCCCAGCCACTGCAAGAATGAAGCATGCTCCTCTCCAGTAAAACGTTGTTAAATGCTTATTGTTGGAGAGGTGGCAAAAAGAGACTATAACTCAGTTTCTTCTGTGTACTTAAACATGCACAGGTGAGAAAATCCTCTGTGAACTGTCTTGTCTTTTGCATGCTGTCAACCAAAGGATGAGTTAATACAGTTCTGCCTTGCCAGCACGAGCAGATTTCAAAGCTGCTTGCATGTTGCTCCCTGTATTTTCCACCTCTTGTTGAACAGCTGGTCTCTAGAAAGAGAGGAAATATTTCTCTTTCGAGATTTCAATTGGAGATTTCAAAACCAGCTTGAAAGATAAAGGACAGTAGGCACTCAGTATGTACTCTGTCTCTCTCAGTGTCAGTGTAACTGGAAAATTGACTGTATGACCAGTAAATCTGAGACCTTTTTAGACCTGGAATAAATGTTAAGCACAAGTTCTATTTTGAATGGGAATACATTTCCTCTATCCTTTACTTTAAAGCATCTGTAGTTCACAGCTATGCTCCAAACTGACAAGTCTGTGTGTCAAATGGAAATTCCAACATAATATGGTATGACATGAACAGCACCCAAACATTTTCCCATGTTTTTTTTTGCTACTGGAATAAATTTTTTATTTTTATTTTTTTTTAGCATTTTTTAGCCTGTCTCATCTGAAAGTAGAGTCTTAAATTTATGTTTTCTTTATTCTCAGAATTACAATTTCCAATACCTTTGTACCCTCCTCTCTTTCTATAGTAACATTTGCAATTTAACACTATTTAGATACAGAATCTATTTAGATACAAAATAATTCACTGATTCAGAAACATTCCCCCACCATATCTGGTCTCTTTCCTACCCAGATGAAAAGTACTAGCAAAGATGCACAACCTGCATTAAATTTAAATGCCTGATCTCAAGGTGAAAGGTGACTCATGATGTAGTCAATCTTCAAAGCTCATTTTTATGCAAAAGGTGACAGATTAATCCTCTGTTAAGGCATTTGGAAAGAAGCAATTTTCAACTCCAGTTTAGAAGGAACTAATTGTCCAGTACAAAGTCCCAGAGTTGGGATCTCGAAGTATAGTGTGTGTATTTGCCCTCAAAGATAGTTTTACAATTAAAGCCAAGCCTTGCCCATTAAAAATAATAATAATAATAAAAAAGTCTGTTTTGGTAGCTGCTATTAGTTAATAGGAAGCATCAGGCTTATTGAGTAAGTTAATGACTCCTGACTGTGCTTAATCACAGACTTTCTTTAAAAAGTTGCATCTGACACTCTCTAATTAACAGCTGAGTAAATAAAACCAGTTCAAATAATAAAATAGTTCATGGTAGAACAGTAAATATTTTCCTCTCTTTAAGACTTGAAATTGTAGGATATGTACATGTGATTGAGGTTTTTTTGTTTTATTTTTCTTTTTAGCAAGCAGAAAATCAAAGATGAGTGATAATAATGAGAAGAGACACTCCTGAGGTCCAGGGTAGAGAGCTATTCTGCTAGTCTGGAGGTGCTTTGTTTTTCTCTCCTTTGAAAGAAGTCATTGATTCCTGCAGAAACCTGGCTGGAACAAGGAAATCCTGCCTCTTGTGTTAACGAGATCCTGAGGCTGGGTGGCTAATGGAGACACCTTGCCTCTCTGAAAGGTAGCAGCTTCTCTTGCTTGAGCTCAGAACTCAATCTGAACCCAATTTCAGAAGCTACTGAATCTCAAAAATGCTTCTGTAAAGATACTGTGGTTCCTGGCCCTCTCCCAGCTGAACAGCATGCTGTCTGCCTGCTTGCCATCCTGGGTGTCCTGCACTGCTGATGTCTCTTCTAAATCATGCATGAAGCCCTTCCAGTAACATCAATACAACAGGGTACTGAATCAAACCATGCACATCAAGGGAAAAATGTTAAATATTTCTAGCTTTAAAGCTGCTGAACAATTCCCTTTTTTTTTTTTTTTAAACTCAAAACCATCCGAGTTTAAATACAATAACAGCTGAGCCAAGTGTGAATGTTTCAGGCTCATAAAGAAAATACCACTGGAACCAAGAAGGAATGGTAGGCTTGTTTTGTTCTCAAATCAGTGCATCAATTCTGTTCAAAGTGCTTTCCCTAAATTTACTTCTGTGCCAAGGCAGTCTATGAAAAAATTTGCAATTGGAGAGGTTAAGTGAGGATCACAATAAAAGTTGTAATTCAACTGTAATAACCAAGAACACTGTAGCCACACTGATATGCCATGTATAGGGTGTGCTTTTCCAAACACTGTAGGGAGCCCTAGTGCTTCTTTTCTAAAAGGGTACTTCATCTAGTGTTACTGGAAATCCTTTCTTTGCTTCAACTGCGCTGTAAAGTAGACATAAATTCAGTAAAGGTTTGTTTGTTTTTTTAATCTTGAAAAATATTTGCTTCAAATTGCCTACTAAAATATCTCCCCTTATATCAATCATATGCCCTATATGTGAACCCATTACCCCGTAGTGATTCAGGGTTATATTAGATTAGACTGTAACTCTTGAGTGTTGTCTGCCAATATTAGAAAAATTAGCATATCGCAAATACACCCCTCGCATAGACATCACAAGCACCTTGAAGAATAGGATCTTTTAACTGACATAATCTTTCTTTTTCTTTTTCTTTTTTCTTTTTTTTTTTTTTTTCCCTCCCAGTGCCATTTCCAGAACACAGTGGGGAAGGAAGTTACCTGCTGTCTGAGGAGAGGATGCTGCTCTCTGGGGATAAAGATGCAGGATGCCTGCCCAGAGAAGATTCCTTGGCAAGAGAAAACTATTTATGCAACTGAAAGCTCTGACTTGTTCTTTTATTTTCTTTTTTGAGATGTGGTGATGGGAAGTAATTTGTGCATCACCACAGATTCAGACGTAATATTTTAAATAATGTAGATGGTTCTGTGGGAAGCCCACATTCCTGGGCAGAAGGTGGTCCTCCCTGTTGCAGGCTCCTCATCCAGAAGCAATGAACAGAAATAACTGAGTGCATACTGCCCAGTCTTTCCCAACTCCCTAAAAACAGGTAGAAAGTCCTTGAAAAGACAAGGTGACCCTGAATGTGAAAAGGGTGAAAAAAAATCTAATTAAGGCATTTTCAGCAATCTTAGGGCCTCCTATTAATGTCTGAAGGTTCAGCTCAGAGCTAGCTGTTATTTGGGGGTAGATGAGTTGGACAGATTTTTCTCCCAGCCCTTGCCTTCCTATATATTTGTTTTGTGTAGAGTGTATGATGTGCCTTACTCTCCCTTCATATCTAATGTGCACTGATTCAGCACAGTCCCAGGGTTTATTGACTGATATCAAGGAACCCATGTCACTGACTATTTCTGCAATATTTTAAGTGATTTCTGTGCATGTTTGAAGTTCTCTGGGTGGTTAGAGGATATTTTAAAGCAGGTGTCTGTCTTTTACTTCCATTTACATCCTTGTTTGCAGTCTGCATGCTTGGAGCTGGCCGTGTTTGGAGGAGAAAGGCAGCCAAACTGATGCTAATTCTGGCAGATGGGATGAGCATGCAGTCATCCAACAACACTACACGTTGCCCTTTGCAAAGCATTCAGTGATCCATTCTGGCTTAGTGTGCCAGGATATCAACTACAAGGGAATGAAATGCCAATATGTTTGTTCCAGCCACCTTTCTAGGGAGCAGTAATATTTTGGCAGAAGGGTAAGGTGGTAGATGTCCTAAGTACATCTCTAAGCACCTAGTAAAATGATTCGTCTTCCTCACCTTGAAAATTTGGTAGCACTGTTATATAAATAACTTGCTCCTACTTTTAAATATAAGCACTGTTTCAGGCTATTAAAATTGTATAAGCATTTGCTCAACTCCCACTCAGGCAGTGCTGAGTACTAGAAGAGGTGTTCAGCTGTTTTGGCAGGCAGATTCACCTATCAGACAGAAATGCTTAAGGCATTCTGACAGTTCTGGGTTTCATTGTGACAGTGAAAATCCTGTTTTTCCTGATTCACTGAGATTTAGGTTTCTAAAAACAGTAATCCAGAGAAGTCATAGCAAAGGGTCATGTATGCAGAGCACCCCATACAACAGAGCTGTATTATGGCATTCCATTCCTTATGATGTGTTACGTTCATGTCCACATCTGTCAAGCAGTTATACTGAGTTTTGTTGGACTAGAGTTAATTTTCTTCATGGCACCTCCTGTAGTGCTGTGTCTTAGATTTGTGACCAAAACCAGCACTGGTAACATGCTGTATTTCACTATTTGAGCTGAATGCTGTATGCACAGCACAAAGAACTTCTGTTTCTCACTCTGCCCTTCCAGTGAGTAGAATGGGGGGTGCACAAGAGATGGAGGGGGAACACAACGAGGCAGATGGCTTGAACTAAGCAGAGATATCCCATGTCATATAGTGCAACTCTCAGCTATAGAAAGGGAGAGCAGGATGGGGTGAGGTTTAGGAATCAGCATTCTTTTTGCACAGGATCTGGCTGAATTGGTGGAAGATGAGAGCAATTACCTTTGCATTACTTGTGTTGTTTGCTATCTCTTTCTTCTACTTCTTCTTCACTTAATAAATAATTTTAATCTCAAACCACCAGATTTTCTTGCTTTTACTTTTCCTTTCCTCCTCCCTTGTCCCAGTGTGTGTGGGAGGGGGAGTGAGATAGCTGCTCAGTGGTGCTTATCTGTCTGCTTGTGTTAACCCACAGCAGCAACATTTTGTGGTTCATGGATCAGTTATAGACCTTCAAAGTCAGGATATCTGTTTCTTCCTCAGAGTGCTGTACATCACTATTGATATTTTTCATGAGGTAAGAGCAAAATATTTGTTGTTCATCACTAGATGTAGAGTACTCTTGTCTATCACAATTATAGCTATCTTGTCTGAGGACTTGGAAGGGAAAATGGATATTTCATCCTCTTTTACTGCTAAATTGGCCCTTTCTTCTCTTGCTTACCCAACCTACTTTCTCATCCTATCCCACCTTTGCACTGCAGCTGTTAACTGGAGGTAAAGTTAATGTATGTTAAGTTCACCTCCCTACTGTTGTTTGCATCTTGCATGACCATACTCACTCTTTTCTTCACAAAATAAAATATCCCTCCAATGTGACCTGTGTGGCTGCTCCTACGTGTCCTTCAAACTTCTTGGCAAGATTCACTTTATCATTAACTCTTTCTTGTATTAGTGGCTGAGTTATAGATGGATCTCTGTCCTTCCATGGAGAAAGAGGGAAGTACAAGGAAAATTTCCTTTGCATGGATGGATAGCTTGTTGTTTTTTGTTCATGAGAGGAAATTATTCTTTTTCCTGGCTTTTCAGTTTTCTAAGATTTTCTGCCATCTGTTAATATGGCCATCTAGTTTAAAGTTTTTTAATGCCCCTATCATCAGTGCATCTTTGTTTATCTTCAGCATCCTTATCCCCTTGGAATAAATGCTTTTGCACGTGGCAGGGATTTTTGTTGCTTTTAAAATGAGCAGATATGAAGAAAGAGGTCAGGAGGAAAAGGAGCATTACAGTTGAGCATTTCAGCCTCCAAGGAGGTTCTTGATTATTGAAAGGCTTTTATGAAGAGAAAGATTTTGCTGCATTATCGAATTCTAATTCTTACTTCTGGAGCTACTTATACATGCAGCTTCCCTCAACAAGACTGATTTGTTCATGGCTCTCTTAAAGTATATTTTACATAGTCTCACTGCTGTGGAACTGCTATGATATTTCTTAAGATGATGTTGGGACATGAGCTACTACTGTATTCTAACAGGCATTGGGAGTAGACAGTGAACAGTCTGAAAGCAGAGCTGCCATGCTTTCGTCTGTCTAAAATTGGATGGAGATCTCAGACTAACTAGAGCCTTCATGCTGTCATTCTGCTTTCATCCTTGTGGTTTACAGATTGTGAAATGAAAGCCAACCAGGAGGAAAAGTGTGGAAGCTGGCAAAAATATTTTCCAGGATGCATTGTTTAGAAATCAAGACTGTCTGGATGTCAGAGTGCGTGATGGTCATCACCTACAATATGAGAACAGCCCTACATAACATTTGGACAGCACATTTTGCATTGGGGGTGCTATCACCTATTGACTGTTGTTGCTATTACCAAGTTAGTAGATGGGAAGAGTAATATAGGTCTTTCATGCCCAATACCTTTTCCTTCAGAAGAATGTAACCTGTTGTTCTGCGGTTGATATGCCTACACTTTTTTTTTTTTTTTTTTTTTTTCCCCCAGCAGTTAACATAGAAAAAATAGTAGAAAAAGTCTCATGGGAACATAAAATACATCCTGTCCCTGTGGTCACTGTCTCCCACTTCTAGAAAGATAATAAGGTAAGTTTGAGGACTTGAGGAGTGTAATCTGTTAGTAAGTGTGGGATCCCTGCCAGAGCCAGTTCTAGACCTCCCGCAAATGGAGTCTGTTACAGCTGTGATCCATGATTCTTGACTTCAGGTGAAACCAGTTATGCTTTTAGCAGTGGTAGTTCTGACTGTTATCCATCATCTCAGCCAAGACGGTGAGCACTACAATGGCCCTTCAGGAATATTCATTGCTTATTTGTTACTGGCCAGTGTCTAAAAGCATCCCTGGATCACAAATGAGGGATTCATTAACAAGACATTTTGAATACATGAGTAAACCTTTAGCTGCAAGCTGCAGCTACAGCAGCTGGTGGTGCAACATCAGGTTAATACTGTACTAACCAGCTTGCAATTCGTAGCACTGAAGTTGTAGAAGAAGAAAATTGTAGGAAGGAGAAACCATGTCTATCAGCTTGAAATATCTTGTAAATATGAACTCAGGCTAAAGATACTGTTTTTAAACATAAATATGCATCCATCTTTAAGCCGTTAAGTCAGAGAGGTGTTAATGTTAGAATTATTACCAATGATATCCAGGTATTGCTGGATCAATCTCAGGGGACTGTCTGCAAAGGACTTGGTTCCCAGAGAAGGGAATAAATTTAGACTCCCCTGAATATCAGTATTCTGGGTTCTGAAGCCTGAGAGTCTTTGCACAGACTATACATTTTGGGACAGACAATATATATTTTCTGGCAAAAAAGGGGCACTGATTATCTTACAGCTTTTTCAATCTAATTTTTTTTTGTTTCATCAGTTTCTATGTTTTAAGACAGCATTTGCAAGGAAACTGGTATTGCTGCATGGCTTCTTAGCTAAGAGAAAGCTCTCTAGCTCTGGTTCTAGAGTGGAAGTCTTGAAAAATGGCAGTTTATTCCCCTCCGGTTCGAGAAGTCATGTATTTGTATGTGTGTTTATTTATATAGCTGCTGCAAAATAGTCAAGGCATCTCTGTGGGCTTTGACAAATAGTTAAAGTTGCAACAATTATGTACCTAGAAGCAGCTCGCATCCAGCTTAGAACACAGTTTATTTCCCCAAAGGTGTTTGCAGGATGCTGGATAGAAACAGCACGAGGCAAGGATAGCTCAGCTAATGGTAACCTTTCCTGCAAATTGCCTTGGGATCTTTAGATGCTTCCCAAATCCTAGGGAGAGGCTGAAAGATTTGACCTTATTCTGGTGTCTGATCCAAAAAGCTGTAAGTTGTTCTGACAGGACAGGTATCCCAGGGCAGGTATCCCCAAGAGCTGTGCAGAGAAGTCAGAGCTGGATATGAGCCCAGCCTTAGGGTTGTGCTGGAACTCAACACTTTTGTGGCCTTGAATTATTTCAGATGAGCCATAATTTGACAGATAGGACCTGCGGGAATCACAGTTACTGAAAAGGAGATTATTCCTAAAATTACTGGTGGGGAAAAGGGAGGAGGAACCGTTGCCACAACCGAGTTATGTGAGACCTGTTAGGGGAACAAAGGAAGGCTTCATTTCTTCATCCAGTCACTTTGACACCTCCCAAGAGCTTTAAATTGGAAGGAGAGCAAGCAGAGCCTTGCCCTGCAAATAGCTCAGGTGTCCGTGTGGGACAGCATGGAGTGTCCAGCTTTATTCCTCACATCTGCCCAAAGGCCTCAGCCTGCAGCCGCGTGGTGCCATGCTGACAGGGCCAGGCCTGCCCTGCGGCATTCAGCGCAGCAGTTCTGTGGGGTGATGGCAAGAGGGAAGCCGGGGAGAGGTGTGAGGCAGAAATTGCTAGAAGCAGCACATTTGCATAGCGGCAGCACTCACAGCCAGCTTTCTCCTCAGGCTCTGCCAGGCTTTGTAGGATTTGTGGCAGAGGGAAGGCTTTAAAGGGGCTTTGATGCAAGTGGAGATGGCACATCTGTGGGGAGATTTTTACCATGATTTAGAGGGCAGGCTGTGAGAAAGCATAGAGGTGTCTGCAGGAGAAGTGATAGAATGTGTTATCTTCAGTGAGAGAAGAGAGTTTTCTGCTGTGACAGAGAATTAGATTTAAGAGCCAAGGAGAGACCAAGCGGTAGCTTAGAGGAAAGGCTTGAGCTTTTCTGTCAATCCCACAGAAATATTTATAGTATCAAAACACGCGCTATCAAGATGAAAAATGGAAACCTCAGAAACAGTGCTTCAATGTTTTTTTTTAGCTGCTGGGGCTCTCAAGAACAAATCCATTGTGTTCGATTTCATCACAAAATGAAGCTGTGTGTTCTCACTGCTGAACGATCCCACAGGCAGGCAGGAGCTTCCAGTTTTCTCCCAGTGCCACTTTCAGTGCCCAGCCCAAGCTGCTGCTTCAGGCACTGCCAGCAAAATCCCTCAGTGTGCTGTGCATTGCTGAGCAGTCACAGACCTGGGGGATCAAATCTGGGTGCCCTAGGGCTAGCATCTGCTCCACCTACACTTCCTACATGAGAGAAGAACAAGTCAGAGGGATTTTGTCACAGTTATGCCATTTGGTGGGGATGGGCACTAATCTCCTTAAGATAAGAGCTGCTCCCACTCTTCAATTTCATGAACTGAGCATGAAATATATTTTTACTCTATTTAGCGTAGGTTTGAGAAGGAAATAATTTTGAAGCACAAAGCCAGAAACGACCAATTTGAAATGTCAAAATGATTTTTTTTTCCCAAAACAATTTTTTCAAGTAGAAGTATCCTAAAATGGGGTTTCTTTCTTCTCTGTGGAAAACTTCCACTTCAGTAAACCGATATTTTTCACTTGAGAAAGTAATGAGCTTCGGTGGAGAGAAAAGCTGGTGCTCAGCATGGTACTGGGAGAGGTGAGCGACAGGGAAATGTGATGAAAACTCCAAAATGGAGGTCTGTCCTTGTGGCTCAGGATGGCTAAAGAAGCGAGTCTCAGCAGCTGGTATGAGATGATTAGAGCAAGGAATTTGGCAGCTAGGAATGACAGATGCAGATTTTTTACATTTAGTGAGGAGTCAGAAGCCCATTGCCTGGGGGAATGAATCAGGGGTAACACTCAGACTGCCAGAGGCTGCCTGCTAGTTGATACCATTGTGACAGAGATGGGACGGGAGTTGGGAGAACAAGGTAAGATTTACTGGGAATGATCAAGAGCACGGGTTAAGAAAAGGCATATTTATATGCAGATATGCATATATGTACGTTATTTATCAAGAAGACAGGAAGTGAGATTAGATGGCTGACAATGACCATGAATAAAGTTTGGCATTTGTGATTTGTGTATAATAGATCCTTAATCAGACCAAATCCTATATGGTTATATCTGCCAGAACAGTGCTAAATTTTGTTTGCTCAAAAAAACAGTCTCTAAAAGTTATATTCCCATTCTTTCTGGATTTTTGATGTATAAGAATGGAAGTGCAGAAATTAATCCTCCCTTGACACTGCCCATGGATGCAGGATCTTCATATCACATCATAGCTGCACACCAAACAGCCAGAAATCTCAGCATCTGACTTGAAAAGTTTTATTAATGGGAGCAAAAACATTTCCCTACGGCTATACAAGAGAGACAGGATTTAGAGCATGCTGGAAAGAAAAATGTTAGCCAGCAATTTATTCTTAACTCAGAAAACGAACTTTCTGCTCATGGGAAACAATAGATTGTTCCCAACCTTCCTGAGCACAGTGTGCCCCCCAGATTTTGCCGTAAGAGCCTTTAAGACACAGAGCATCATCCCTTGGAAGATCTGTACATGTTTCCCAGCTCTGCAGCTGCCATCAGCTGTGCTCATTCACTTGAACAACTGGTACTGTCTAATTTCTGATGGGGGAACCCCTGAAATTAGTTTTGCTTTAATGAAAGTACTTGATCATCTATGTTCCACGCCTGCACAGCATTCAGCAAGAGGACCGTCAGTGTGCTGTTGTGGAATATAGCTAATGAGAGAGGAACAGAGATACAGGCTGGAAAAGGGAGGTGAAGTTTACTTTGAATTTGGACTCCAGTTCCCTTTCAGAGTTTAATGCCTTCTGACTTGCAGCTGTTTCTGATGGTTCTGAGGCTAGGATTGCAGAAAATCCAAGAAGGTGTGCATGAGTGCTTACAAACCTGTAACTCAGAACACTTCACATGACATACTGTGGACTGAACAGTTCCTGGCCTTCCCCAAAATCTCAGCTGTAACATGCACCGCAGTTCTTGCGTACAATCAAATAGCTCAAATAGCTTTTCCTAGTTTCCCATAAAGCAGGTGTAATATCTCATGATTATTTTCAGGCATGAGGGAGCATGTTGCTTGAATTAGGCACTGCATCCAGCTGAGCAGACTGGGGGAAGACCATTCAGTGGTCTGAAATAAGTTGATTCAAATGGCCCTGCTTTAAAAACCATACCCACAGCAGGGAAGTCACTGCTGGGACTCCCATGTCAAAGCAGAAACATTCTTTCCCAGACCTGGGAGACACAGCCTGTTCCTCTTTAAATCTGTGTTCTCTGCTGCAGTGCTCTGCATTGTTGCCATGGCAGAAATCTCCCCATAGTAATAACCTCTTTCAGGGAAGGTTAAAAAGAGACAGTGCACATGCTCAGAAAGCTGCACTTGTTCTGTTAGCAGTTTGCAGCGGCCATTTCAAAGAGACCACCACAAAGACAAGAGAGAGATCAGGTACTGCTATTTTTTTCCTTTGTTGGAGGGGGTGACTTTTCTCTTACAAAGAGGACCTTGCACATGTCTCTGTTCCTGGTTACGCTGCAGGGAGAGACCACACTGGAAGCCTGTCATGGTTATTCCTAACAGACAGCAAATTCCCATAGAAATACTGAGAGGCAGTTGTTAGATGTGGCCTGAGGTAACTGCTGCACTTAGGGAGCAATTATTTGGCAACACAGCTCACACGGG